CTGATTACTTAATTCCTTTTAAGTTCACATATACCCCCAGAAGTTTGAACTTTATTTATGTGTATGCTTATATTATATATTCACATACAATAGTTGTTTAATGGTATTTTAGTGCCTAGTTCTCCAATCTTGTCTAGTATATTATTTTCTGCCTTGCTGCCCGGTGTTTATTTAATAGATCATCCTCTGCTGATAAAACACCACATTTTGGGAACTGATTTGCATCAATTTCTTCATCCTTACTATAAAGCATATAATTCAATAAATAAGAATCCCAGAAAGAGACTAGTTTTACAGAAATTTGACCAGTCAGTCAGGCCTGATAAGAAAATACATTTTTCAATAGCTGCTGTTTCAGGTAGTACATTTAGTTGAGATAAGATTTTCCCCAATTTTGATGCTCTTTTTTCTGGTACAAAACATACAGTCTTTAGCTAATTAATTTTATGGCACAAAAACGTCCATCAGTTGATAGTTATTCAGCCAGTTAAGAAATTCCCAGTTCTTAACCTGGTGTTTTAAGGTAAAGCATTAGGCTTCTAAACCAATGTTCTTGGGCTTAAGACTGGCCAGATGTATTATGCCTACCCTCAATTCTGACACAGGTAAAGCTTTGTGTAGGTAGAAAATACAAGTTTACCATCATGGTTTAAGCCCATGTTAAGCTGTAGTTTCCTTCTGCTGGTCATCATCATCATCATCATCATATGGGATAGTGTAGTTCATCTCTTGGACACCCCACCTCAGAAATCAACTACTTCACCATCATCAAGACAGGCAGAAGCTATGGAGTTCAGACAGATCATAACTAAGGAATTGGCAACAACAATTTTGACTTCATAAAGATGCAACAGAAGTTGATGGAAAATGATATGACAAGGATTCCTGAACCAACAATAATTTGAAAACTACTGCTTTACTACACAACTACTAACAAGAAACTCAGAGATTTATTGATAACAAACCAGCAGAATCTGGCCTATAGTTTCTTTTACTTCATTGTTACATTTATTATTACAACTTTCACTTCCTTTCAGTCTTAGAAATTACCCTGTAAAAGTGGATAGTAGTTATATGCTAATAATACGAGGGTCGCTCATTAAGTAATGCCCCACATTTTTTTCCTCAGAACATATTTATTCAAGATGGCTCAAATTTAGTGACAATATAAATCAATGTTTCCTTTACACATACTATTTTTCCACATAGTCCCCATCAACTTGTACGGTTTTACGCCAGCGTGGAACAAGGGCATGCATGCCTTGCCGGTACCAGCTCTTGTCCTGTGCACGTAGCCATGTCCTCACTGCTTGAATCACGCTCTCGTCATCTTCAAATCTTGTTCCGCGGATAGCATCTTTAAGGGGCCCAAAGAGATGGAGTCGGAGGGTGGATGGGGCAGCACCGTCCAACCCAATTTGGTGATTTCTTCCCGGGTTCTCGGACACAGTTTATTGTTTAAATATTGTTACAGGACACAAAAGACCCAGAGATAAAGAAATTGTTTCAAGACAAACTGTATCAACAACCATATCATCAAGCATTTACTTCACAGGAAAAAGGTATTGATAAATTACGTAAGGGACTGTATGCTTTCTACGGTGATGCAGGTGCATACAAAATTATGAGTGACACATATGAAGAAAATGAGAAATGCAGACTAAAAGAAATTAAAATAAATCCTTCAAATGCTCTTGCATTTCCTGTGAAGAAAGGTAGCCAGTACAAAGAACACATCACACAAAAGTAAGTAATATGCTCTTGTTCTCACCTCTTTTGAACCATTCTTAATTTTTATATTGTATCACATCAAACAATCTCAAGCTTCTTCCATCTTATATTTGAGGGAGTATGCAAAAAGAATGAATTATTAGCTTTATTAGTTTGTCCTTGTTCCAATAAATGCTATTATTTCTCAACATTATATATTCTGTCTCGTTGGCTTCTTCTCCATCCATGTTTATATTCATTTGTCCTCATGCTTGCAGGCCTCCCTGCTTATTTGTCTACCTATCCATTTTCTCTCTTTAATTCTCATCTTTGTTTATGATATATAAATGTAAACATACAAACTATCTCATTGTTATTGAAACAATAAGATAATTTGTATATTGTGATAGCTAGGTTTACTCAGTCCTCCTGATTGAATATCAGTTACTGCCTTAAAATAGGCCATGACTATTTTGATACTTTTTAAATCACGATACATAATTCTTTGATACAATTTTATGCAGATGATAAAAAAATAAAAACCTAAATATACACTTATCTAAAGTCAGTATATAATTGACTTCAGTATAACCATGTACTACTCTGTGATACTTAAAGAGGAAATATAAGCTTTACATCATCATTCAAGATGTAGTTTATCAGATTATAAACTTTGTCTATGCAGTGAAATTAGGGAAACAGTTCTTATTAATCTGTTTTAATGAACTTTCAATTCTTAAGAGCTCAATGGTTGAAGGAAGCAGGTCTCGTAGATCGAGAATACAAGCAATGGTTTGTGCAGAGACCCAAATGCAACTCTGATATTCGAGGATTTGTAAGCGTACGCATTGGAGACTTCTATCCAACACTGGTTGTTCTGGCAATTGGTATCATCGGTGCTATTATATTATTTATATTAGAGATATTATATTATAAGGTAAGATATGGTATATAATTCTCCCTTAATTCAGATAAATCAAGGTCTACAATTATTAAAGACACTCTTGTTAAGCAGTATTAACCTTTTCCTTTAAAACTGCACAGAGAGTGGCAAAATTAGTCATATCAGTGTAATAACTAGATATTTTACTGACAGTAAAGAATCACTTAAAACAATTATTTCCATCATCAACATATTTACTTGTGTCATTGCCACACTTCTTTTACATTAAAACTAGAATGAGGTAATTAATTGGTTTTCCCCTTACAATATACATAAAAAAGGAGAGAACAAAACTTTCTGCTTATGAACATGATGGGGCAGTAATATAACTAAAATTATGTCATTTTGATATTTCAAGTGGAGATACCTTGTCAGTCAAGTTTTTAGCAGGTCATATCAACCTTGCTGAAAACAACAGCAGAAAACAAATCATTATTGTTGTTCTGTAGCTGCATTGTTGACATATGTATTCAAGTGATCTCTGCTTTTTTTGTTAATTTTGTTTATACAACACCAGCATTTTCAGAATGTTTGGAAGACAGCAGTTTGGCAGGGTCAGCAGGTAGTGGATATTTTTAGGAACAAACACAGGTGGTGATGAGACTACACAGAATAACTTTCCACAAATTAATGTATGGGCCCATTTGCTTATCAAGTGAAAACTGTTCAAGCCCAAACCTCTCTTCACCAAAAGAGATTAAAAAAACCAAATGAGCTACAGACACAGACTTATCTCTTAATGTAAAATTACATGAAAGTCACTATAAAACTGTTCTTATTTTGAGGTGACAAGTGTGAAGGATATTGCTATCTCACTTCAGGATGTTGTATGTTATCTAGAGGCAAAGAGTTCAAGATTTAACTGGAAAATCTAACTTAGTCTCTGGGTAATGTGGCAAAAGGGAATCCATTAAAGTGCACTCCTATAAATGAACCTCTATCATATTGAAATAGGGGATTTAAATCTCTGTGCTATAGAGCAGCTGGTTAGACTTCCACTCTGGTGTTCCACATCCAATATACTGCAGAACTCTGGTGTGCTACGAATTTTTGTAAGAAATTGTATATTTGTGTGTTATAGTTGGAAAAGGCAATATCTTGTATTTTGTAATTAGAATTCATAATAAACACATACCGGTTCATAATCAATAGTTTTATTCAACATGTTAATATAGGGCAAATATTTATATGCCTGTTCATATTTATGTCCATCTATAGTTTTGTACCCCTTTTCATGAGGTGAAACTTTGTGGTGTGCCATCATGTGTCCTTCACAAATTAGGATGTGCTGCAGATGGAAAAAATTGCAGAATATTGATTCAGAGGTAATTTATAGTTTTGATATTAGGTTTTGATTAACAAATTAAAACCAGAAATTTAATCCAGTTTTGTTGATTATGATGATGATCACTGCACCTATTAGTAGTTATGATTACCAATATGTCTTTTTGCATGTACGAAGTGCAGTAGTTAAGTCATACAAGAACACCTAGGTGTAACTTTCCTTAATAACACACATATTGGCTTTATATTTTGCCCTTCCCTGTTGGAAATTGTTGGCATTTGTATTCCAAGCAGAAGTTGTACATTGAACTCAAGACATAAATATCTCATTGGATATCAGAAAGGAATGTATTTATACGGGTAAGAAGTTAATCATAAGCTTCCATCAACCATCAAACGTTAAAGTCAAGATATACAAGTATTTAAACCGAACTCACTCCTACTCAGTAGAACAAATCACACCGCTTTGTGACGTGTGGCGGACAATTCGTGATGGTGGTTTAAGGCTGGAAGTGGTTTGTGTACTCGTATCTATTTATATTTTAATTATATATGTATATACATGTGTGTGTGTGAAATTGAAGAAACTGTCCAGGTTTTGTTTATTTAAGTCACTGTTACTTTAGTGAACGTAAATCTAATGATGTAGCTACAGGCAGTTCGTCAGCAAAATGTGAAATGAGGGGGGAGAGGTTATGTTCGTGTTGGTCATTATTTTTAATATTGTTGCCATATGTGGTTGCCAGTATGTATTGCACTTTTTAAACCCTTTAATAATTATTACGATTTTCACCCACCATTTGTTCGCTTGTGAGGCACTACTCGTAGCATGACTTGTTTTGGTGTTTGGTATTTTTGGCTAGTACACAACTTCAAGGATTACGCCCCATTGCGCCGTTGTAGTTGTAGGTCAGAGTGCAGGACTGTGATTTGGTAAGTTACCACACTATGTTGAAAAACGAGGCTTGACCCAACATTGCTGTTTCAGGATCAGATTTCGTCTGGCATGGCCTGACAGTGGACTTCACTTGGTTTGACTTATGGTTTAGGATCAGGCCATGTCAGACTAATTTAGTTTAGGAGGGCCCAGAACGTGTTTTGCGCTTTCATACACCAATGCTGAAACCTATTGAAATTAAAATGTTATTGGAAACATTATGAAATAGCTAACTACGGACTGGACGACCGGGGTTCGATCCCTGACTGGGGCAGAGGATTTTTCCTCTAGCCTCTGCGTCCAAACCAGCTCGGGGGCCTACCCAGCCTCCTATCCAATGGGTACCGGAGTCCTTTCCTTGGGGTAAAATAAGGCCAGGGCACAACGCTAACCACTTACCTCCACCTAGTGCAGAGGTTAAGAATGAGTAGAAGCTGTACCTTCTTCCTCCCCTTCCCCAAGCACCTGCATGGTACATAGTGGGACAGCTTTGATTTACTTACTTTTTATGAAATAGTCTATGACCTAACACAATTATTAAATATGATTGGAGGTTTTCTTCGTGATGATGGAGGCAACAAGGACCTCTGAAACATTGGTAAACTTCTACCAGACTACATGGCGCTTACAACCTAGAAGACAGCCATCATAAAATAGAATTGTACTTTAACATTTAATGAAATTTCTGTGCTTTGATTTTCTGCGTTGCCTCTATTTTTATATAGTGTCAGTTTTGTAAATTTTCACTAAGTCAGATTTGATTAAGTTGGACATGGTGCATTAGTCCTAAAGTACAGTTTTAGTTGCGCAGGAGCATTGTATCCAGCTATATTCCAAGAGCATTAGGCCAGAGTGGCAAAACTTGTGAGTTGTGATGTTTGTGGACTGTGACAGATATACAGATCTGCTTTGCTACTAACAGTTATTAGTACAAAGAGGTGTTAAACTTTCTTTGAGACTTATTGTAAGACCAGTTTCTTTACTGTTTTGTAGAAGTATGCAGTCATTTTATATAGCATGTATTTCATTAGATAAAAATTCAAACATAAATGATACTGAAAGTTTTTTTATGCAACCTTGCAAAAAGCAAATAAATGTAGTTGTCTTCAGATAAGTGTGCACGAAATAAATACTATAATTTCTCATTTACACAGTAAATGCATCAATAAAAAATGCCACTTAAATAAAGGCCAAATTTTCCATGAGAGTGTTGAACCTCCAGGTGATAAATAATCACTGCCCCATATTCTTGCAGTGTATGTTGAAGTTAGAACTAAAACTTTGTAAATGTAGGTCTGTTACATATCCTTCAGCTCCTTTAACATTGAAAATGGTTTAATGAAAATTGTGGTGTAAATTGAGAAATGACTATGTATGACTGTTCCAAAACTAAAGTCTTAATCAAACAGTGCCTAATAAATAATTTAAAAATAATGAACGTAATGTGCAAGTTGTCTTGTAGGTTGGAACATCAACAAGACTATATAGTGTCAACAAAGAAGACCACAGTTGACACACAATGTACCATGTATGCATTATTTTGTATCATTGTGACCTGTGACCTGTTATAGCAAGTTAAGAACATAAATACAAATATTTGGGAATAAAATATATAAAGGAAATATAATTGAACCTAAGATGGAAGAATGGAGGGTATATTATAACAAGGAACTTTTTGATTTATAAACATATTAGTGCTCTGGTATATTTAAAATATGGCTACACCCTGCTGCAAGTATAACTGGGATGGGGGAAACTTGAATGGTGGTCATTGTTTTGATGGGGAAATCTATTGGAAGGAAGCCAATTGGAGCGGCAGGAAGGAAATGGAAAACAGTAATTAAAACTCATTAAAAAAATATTTTAATTCCTAATGCAGTATAGGATGGGGTCTAGTGGTTAGCTTTTCAGTTAAATGAGTATCTACTTTCAGGTTACGTTATCAGATTTGGAATCATAAAACTAATTTGACAATAGCGTTTAACTTTAAAATTGAAAGGCTTGTTCAAAAAATGCATTACTTTGCCTAGATAAGAAGCATGGGATTGGTAATTTTTTCTGTTTCTTTGTAGGAAAATGGAAGAATCTGTAAGCATCATAGCAACTGACAAAGAGGAAGTAGGACTAACAGGAGATACTCAAACCAGCAAGCCTAACATACAGGATATGAATGGTGAAGATAACCAACCAGTCAAGAACACTGATGCAGAAGAAATTGGACGAGACAATCCATATGCTTACTTGGACAGAGCAGATTTCACTTCAGAAAAATTTAAGATTGAAATTCGAGGCCTCCCAAAATTTTATGGGATTGGAGTAAGGTTTGCTTCTTTATTACTTATACAGATAAGTATCTGCAGTCAGTTATACTATTGTATGTGATTCCTGTGATGGATAAATGTTGTGTATGTTGAATTATTACTTTATCCCTTGGCTTAGGCATATATTGTCTGCAGAGCCAGTGCAAGCATTGTACAGGTGAACCAACTTGGAACAAGATACTTTTCTGGATGACATTTTCTTCCACTAAAATAAATTACTTCAAGAAACTGTGCATCCAAAATATTAAATTCTATGTTCTCCTCATTTTTCCTCTATTCATCACGCATCGGGTGTGGTGCTTGTGGGAACATAATGGTATGTGATGCATAAAGTGATCTATGTGCTCTGCTGGTTTGTTTTCGGGCTACCATATGTGATCTAATATATAAAATGATTTGTTTGGTTCATAGTGCAGCTATGCTATGTTCCTCAAATTTTTCATAGTTCTGAGCAAATTTTGGTGTTAGTGCCTTCAAACTGACTATAACTGCTTCCTTTCATATCCCTTCCAGTCCTTCATTCACAATTATCCTACGTGCTTTTTAACCTATGTAGTTGGAAAAACATTATAAACAATTAACAATTATAAAAATAAGACAGTTTTTCACGGTCTTTGTGCTTGTGCCAGTGATCAGTTATAAAACCAGAATATGGTTGCCTACAATGTAATGGTGTTCACGCAGACCTTGCTGTATCAAATCTAAAAGTTCTTGACGATAGTGATGAGTCATTTGAATAAAAAAAAAATTCTTGGATATTATCCATCGTCTAGTAAGTAAAATATAAAACGTAAAACAACGTTTCGGAGATGGGGCTCTCTCTCTCCCCCTCCCCCCTCTCTCTCTCGTCCGTCTTCAGTGGGTTTGAACTTAATGGTCATATGTATTTATTCCCACCTTCTGTGAGTCTTTGTTTTTATTTGGCTTTTTTCATGTTTAACGAATTTTGTGTCTACTATTTCTATTTCATTCTTTTACATTCCACGGATGGGTGGTGTGGTGATCTTCTTGTATTCCAGGACTTTCGCTTTTTTACTTTGTCTGGAGACAGGGATTAGCTCTATCTAGTGGGCCCAACGGAGTAGGCACCTGAAGACGGAGGTAGAGCCCTATCTCCGAAACGTCATTTTACATTTTATACTTTATTTACTAGACGATGGATAAAATTCAGACCTTGCTGTTTTAAAACTTGCCTCTTTAGGTGTCACGTAAGTATTGATAGATATATTTGAGACATCTGACTACATTTTTGTATGTTTATCACAGAATAAGTAACACATTGTGGGATAGGCAACTTTTGCTCTTTTAACAGATATTAAAACAACATGTAATTATCTTTCAGGAACTGAAAAGACTTTTGAATGAAAAGTTAAAACTAGGTTCAAACAAAGTGAAGCCACCAGCAAAGGGCAGTTACTGGGTGTATGTGTGTTTTCGTTCGGAAGAAGACCGACAGAATGCTCTGAAAGCCTTAGATGGTTATATCTGGAAAAATAAGACATTAACTGCAGAGGTAAAGTACTGTTTTGTTTTCTTCTTTATAAATGATTTGATGCATCAGTAAAAACAGAGGATGGAGTGCTTTTCATGTGATGATGTGCTTTCTGTTGATAGATTGCTAAACCAGCACCAGATCCATTAGTGAAGAAACGCAGACAGCAAACACACGAAAACAAGTATGGAGAAGATGAGGCAAAGAAACAGAAGACAGATGGTAGCTCACAGGAAGACCGGCTGAAGGCATCCACAATTCCATTTTGGAACATACCTTATGACAAACAGGTGAAAATTATTGTTCATTTTGAAGTTGGCAAACAGCACATTAAGAAGGATTGGAGCTGATGAACAAAAATATAAAGGTGGTTGCAAAATTAGTTGTGCCATGTTCATTTAGATATCTGATGCACAAGCTAAGAGAGATAATGTGAATTGCTCTTAAATAAGATGATTTTTGAAGTCTTAAAACATGTCTTTATTGGTTATTATTTACCCCCCAAAATTAGTTTAATGCTCAAGTTTAGGACTTCTGTGGAATAATTTATTGTTATAACATGTGATTATATTGCTCCATATCTGTTGTTTTCATATTCTTTGCATTTTGAAGGAAACAATTAATGATGGGTGGTTAAGGATTGATAGTTTACTTTCAAATAAATCTGTTACTGTCATCATATTAACTGTTTATATTTTAAGGTACCTTTCGGGGAAGCTAAAATTATAACTTTAAAACTACTATGTTCATTTGTTTTATTATTTCTTTTAAACTTCACTGAATAAGAGATGTATGATCAGTTAAAATGAACAATTTTGTATTATTATTATTCTTTTAGTAATGCCTTTCAGTTGATGCAAATAATTATGTAAAATTCATTATGTTTGCAGATAGAACAAAAGCAAGAAAATATCAGGCAGATGCTGATGAAGATGGGTTATGACATGGTTAAAGGAAATCCTGCTCTGAAGCCTTGGGTTGACCAGCAGAAATCAAAATATAATGGATTACCATGTGAATTATGGGATATCAGAGCTTCACCTGTGTGTGATGGCTATCGCAACAAATGCGAGTTTACAGTTGGTATGTTTTCTTGTTAGTTTGTTCCTCTCATTGTATTTATTGAAACTGTCTCAGTTTTATAGTTCATATTGTGAAGATGTTGGTGAATAATAAAGTGTAGGAAAGGTGTGGAAGGAAGTGGTCATGGTCTGTTTTAAGAAACTGGAGGGATGGACCAAAGTAAATCATGAAAATTCTGTCAGGATAGTCAGTGTTATGGTATTGCTTATTCTAGGTATGTCCTTATATTTTTTTTAAGAAAGACATCCTTTGTTGTGCAGATAGTTTTAACCTTTTTTCAGCTTGTCATGAAGTATCATGGTGTAGTCTGTTGTAGAAAGCTTATTTTTTCTGATCTGCTCATCATTAGATTTGAGATTAATCCTGTTATTAGAAACATGAATTTAGGATTATATAAATATTACAATTTTATTATTTATTTCCAGTAATTTATGCTGGATTGCAATTGCTGTAATTGTCAGCCCTCATCTGAAAGAGTTTCCTAGGATTCCATCAGTCTGATACTGTTTCATGTTCAGGAGAGAGGAATAGTAATCACTAATATTAGGTACTGCAATATGCTGTATAACAGGCCCAACCAAAATAATTATTTATGATCCAAACAAGACACTTATGGACTGATTAGCTAAATTCAAAGGAAAATTTTTCAGAAAAGCAAAATATGTTCATGATTATTTTGTAAAATAATAAAATTGCCTTTGCTTTTCTACTTACCTTTGTAATTTGTATACATACCACATTTTACTTTTTGCATTCATAGTATAAAGCATATTGACAGATTGGGTTTTATTAAATTTGTTATGTGAGGTCTTCTCTATAACTTCTACTTTATGTGGAGCTCAAATTTAAATTTATTAAATATGTCAAACATTTTTACCTTACAATACTAGAGGTACATTGGGCCTATTAACATGTCTTAATATTTATATTTTTTTTATTTGGTATAGGTGTTAATGAGGAGACTGGAGAGCGAACAGTAGGTTTTCGGCTTGGAAGTTATGTTCGAGGCTTCACAGGTGTTGGACCAGTGGATTGCTTGAGGCATATTCCAGGTCGTATGAAGGAAGCTGCTAAGGTATAATAATGATTATTCAAAATAAGGATGTAATTTTAATGAATTTTGTGATGTTTTGTTTTAAATCATTGTTTCATTATGACAAAATTACTTTGGATATTGTCCATGAAGAGAATAAACTAATTAAATTTTGAAGAAAGATTGAAACTTTTCTTATTTTGGTATGGTGTTAGATAAACGGGAAAATCCACGAGTAACGATATTTTACCAGACTGTTAGAAATGTTTGGAATTTGTGAGTTTCAAGAAAATGCACAGATTTTTAACCTGAGATTAGCACCATCTTTTAGTTCAGTCTCTTGTATCTCAGTTACAAAGTCCTGCTTTGGTCCCAAACCAAATGGCACATGACACTACTAGCTTGCCTCTCATATTTCCCTCAAATTACCCACACATTCTGGCATAGTTTGCATTGTTGCCTAGTCTTCTTCCTTTCCAGTATAGGCCTTATGGCCTGTTACAGGCGTCACATAACAGAATCCTTTCATATTTTGAGGGGTTGGCCCAAACATCCCTTTATTGTTGCCTAGTAATTGCTGTAATGGGTGTTTTCAGCATAAAGTCTTTTCATCTGTTTTATGTCCTATGCTGTACACTGTAGGCCTATGGCATGGAATTTCTTGACTAGCTGAACTACTATAAGCTTCTTAAGATGACCTCTGCTCCATGGAGTTGGTTTGATTAGTATTGTATATTATCTGTGTTGCAGTTGATACGTACAGATCAAGACATGGATATACTCACAACTTTGGTTGTTTAGTTGTCATTACAAATGTTTATTTGCTTTCTTATGGTACCAGTATGGATAAGATGTGAGATCCTTTAAATACTAATATGCTAAGCAGAATGATTTCCTGGTTACTGCTGATAAGAGTTTGAGTTGACATGGCAACTAAATTAAAAGTAAAGTGATGTCACCATATAATTTATTGAATATTGTTGCTGGGCACTTGGCACTTCTTCATATTTGGGAAGTCTGGAATCCAAATTTTGGTCCACAAAGAGGCCATCCTTGCTACTTTTTGTGTTTTTCTTCAGTCTCTGTAGGCAGAAGCCAGGATGGATAGTACCGTAAATTAGACCACGACTGCTTCCTTCCACATTCTTTCAAATTCATTATCCATTAATCATCCTGTCATTTGATGTAGTCTGAACTACTAATGGCATTGTTAACTACTAATAAACATAATTCAGGTTCTACACTAGATTTGCGTAGTAAAATGAACTAATTAACTCTTGTTTATACTATCCTTATTTAATATTACAATACTCTTAACTTACAGACATTTGAGAAATTTGTGGTGGCATCAAATTTGGGTGTGTTTAATCCAGAAACACATGAAGGTTACTGGCGTCAGCTGACGGCAAGACTCTCCACAGACAGTGATCAGCTAATGTTAGTGGTTGGAATGCATCCACAGTCTCTTTCACAGGAAGAATTAGGGAAAGTGAAGAATGATTTGAAAAACTTCTTTGAAAATGGAGAAGGCAAGACATGCAATGTTTCCTCACTCTATTTTCAGCACATTCTGAAAAGGTGGGACATGTAATTGGATTTATTTTTGAAATAGAAGACATGCATTTTTGTATGTTGTAGTTTTGGTAGTGTGTTGCTAATCACATTAACAGTTTCATATGCTAATGATAATTTTACATTACTGTTTATTGATTATTCACACTGCCAGAGAAATGTTTCAATAAGAACAGAGCTCCATTTTATGTAGGTTCCGTTTTATACTGGTTTTGCTGAAGTAAGATAATTTGCATCCGTTAGTATTGATTCATGAATGTTATGGTAATGCAGTAAAAGGGTCAAATTGTTGAATGTTTGGTAGGCCTGAAACCAGGTATTGGTACATATGTTATTTTAGTGCTAATGACAAAATGGAAACATGGTATATATATTTAAGTAAAACATTCACTGACTTGTATATGTATATAATTACATTCTGTGTGATTATAGGCAAGCTGGCAAAGAATTACCTCCTTTGGAGCATCTGATGGGAGACACACATATTTATGAAACATTATTGGGCTTGAAGTTTCGTGTGTCACCAGAGGCTTTCTTCCAAATTAATACTTCTGCTGCAGAAGTTCTTTATAACTCAGTAGCTGAACTTTCATGTCCTACTGAGAATACAACTGTCATTGACATATGCTGTGGAACAGGGTCCATTGGACTTTGTCTTGCCAAGGTACTTTTAAATAGGTCACCTTAGTTTAATGTTTACTCTTCTTTGGTTTTCCATCAGATTTCAAGAGTCCATTCACCACCCAGTCAAAGTTATTTGTCACAAATGTTAGAACAGTGATACCCAAGGGATGCTGTTTGATGTGTTATTTATATTTTACTTTGTTGTCAGTTTGCTAGTGAATATATGGTGTAATCCTCAACTAGCTGGCTAATAATGCCTGACTGGAGCTGGCAAATGATGGATTTTGTCTGATCAATTCTGCTGTGTTCCAGTGTATGAAATGCCACTGAACAGCAAAAGCAGGACAGATGACTTCTTATTTTTCATTTTTCAAAGTGTTAATCAGGTTAATGTGATTAACATGAATTCTCTGTCCCTGGGCACTTGTCTTGTAGAAGAATATGCATTGTTTGGAGAAATATGATATAAAATTTCAGAGGGTTGTACCTTATATATATGAAAAATGAATTGTTCTGAAGATGACTGTCTTCTGGGATGTTGCACCATGTGGCTTTATAAAAACTGGCCAATATTTGAGATACTTACTGCCTCCATCATCAGGGAGATGCAGTCTCATAGAAATTGACTGATGTTTCAGAGGTGTTTACTGCCAACTTTATCAGGATTCTACAAGACTACACAGTGCAACATCCCAAAACAGTCATCTTCACACTTACTGCCTTTAAGCTTACCAAGAATTCTTTTACAGAAATGTGGTAAAGTTTTGGGGTTGGATTTATTAGCCCAAGCTGTGGATGATGCCAAGAGCAATGCTGAAATTAATGGCATCGTAAATTGTGACTTCTTTGTTGGCAAAGCAGAGGATATTCTCTGTTCTGTGATGAACAGAGCTGTGAAAGAAGATGTTTTAGCTGTTGTTGATCCACCCAGAGCAGGGCTTCGTAAGGATTTCATATTACTAATTATATTTTGTAATCTAAGTTGAATTTATATATACTATTCTTTTTTAGATTTACTCTATGTCATAGATTTCCTGTTCCCAAACTCCTTAACTGTTTATCATTCCAATACCATTCATTCAACTCCTTATCTGTAAATTTTTGGTCTCCCGTCAACATTTGTCAGCAGGTATCTAGTATTTTGGTTGTTTTGGCCATCTACATGTGTGATTTTTTTCTATATGTCATCACTGTTGCCATCACCGTCATCAGATATGTATACAAAAAGAATGTATCAGTAAAGTGCATGTAATATAATATTAGAAGATATAGAAAGATTAACAGGACTAACAATTCATGAAAATGTGTGATGTGTATGAAGCTTGTCTGGATAATGATGAAATCAGTCCTAAGCAGCAGTAGTATCTTCTACATTGTTTTGTCCAGAGTTGTACATTTTACAAGATTTTATTTATGTCATGCTATTTAGTAAACCTTTTCTTTACAGATCAAAGGGCTCTAGTTCACCTTCGTCGGACTGAGAAACTTGGTAAACTAGTGTTTCTTTCTTGTAACCCAACAGCAGCAGTAAAAAATTTTGTTGATCTTGGCCGTCCAACTTCGAAAACATATCATGGTGCTCCTTTAGTGCCTGTGCGTGCTGTCCCTGTGGATATGTTCCCACACACCTCACATTGTGAGCTTGTTGTCTACTTTGAGAGGGTGGATTTGAATCAGCTGAGAAAAACCCAAGAGCTAAAACAGACGTCCTTATCATAATAACAGTGAGGGAGACGTGGAACACCAAACTTTGCCAAATGGAAATATTCCACTTTAGTGATAAAAGATATTTCTGAAAGATGTATATGTAAAGAAAGTTGATTAAGAAATGTTAAATATGATATACAGTTCTGATTTGAATTGTTTTATGCAGATTTGGTATTCAACAAGAACAGAATAAACTAAGGAAATGCATATTATCATTCAGTTCAGAATATTTTTGTGTTTGCAAAACAATACAAATTAGAATGTATGGACATATATCAATTCTACATGCTGCTTTGTATTGGTATGAATCTTTTGTCACTCTGAGAGGAAAGTGGAAAATAAAAGGTTTGAGGATGTTTGGACCTAATAGAGAATATTTCATAACTGATAATATAAAACCTTGATTAACAACTTTGTCAGCAGTCAATGACCAAATTCTCCTATCTCCAAATAAAATATGCTGGTAGCATAATGTAAATGGGCCAAAGTTGTTGAGAGGACGTTATTCAGGCTTGCATGGGAAATCTTCTTCCACTGTACGTTCATCAGCAGGTGTATTTGATAACTGTAAATCTAATAACGAATGTAAACATTTCCTAATTTACAGTTATTTACATGGTAAGACTTGCAGTGAATATTTACAGTATGCCATCTGTGGTAGTGTGCAACATTTAACATGATTCTTCACTTTCTGTATGAATCATTGGGTTGACTGAGTGAGAATATCTTGCCAGAAGTTTAAATTAATTTGTGGAGCAGTAGTTGTTAGCCTGTGATAGTAATAAATAGAATTAAACCATTTTGTACTTCTTGCGCCATATGATAATATGTGAGCTCATTACCTGTCAGACTAGTGCATGCCTTTTTGAGGTTCAAATGAGCATAATCTCTTGATTCCATCATGAAACTTAAAATCAGTTGAGCATAATCTCTTGATTCCATCATGACACTTAAAATCACTAACACTTATCTAGTTTATACCCATGCTTTCATTTGTAGTACAACTTGCACTGAAAGGATTTGTTTATAAAGGTGAGGAAATTGTTGACTACATAATTATGAAACTTTTACTGTTAACAAAAATGTCTTCATAGTGTTAGAATATTCAAATCAGGAAGTATGAGATGTCCATTACGATAACATGAAACAAGAAATGCTTACAAAATTCTGGTAAAAACTTTTCTTTTGAATAGTCCACTTTGAAGACTAAAGGTGGAAAGATGGTGTTAAAAGGATGGTGGAGAATTTGAACTGGCTCAAAACAGAATTCAGTGGCATACTTTTATGATTTATGCTGATAAACTTTTATAAGAGTCCTGCACCATAGCTGTGTGGTCTGAGGCATCATGCTTCGGACCGGTGATACGGAATGCACGCTGGTTCAAGTCTCGGGGAAAGAAATTTCTCATGAGATTTTTAACAGGTGCCAACCCAGCATCGTGAGGAAATTGGGGAGCTACAATGGGTAGCATAATCCAGTCATGAAAACTAGCAATGGCTGGGTTCGTCGTGCTGACTACACGTCACCCTATATCTGGTTGGATGATCGTTCACCTCTGCTTAGGCATGCGAACGTGAGGCCAGCAGCCAGCTAGTCGGCTTTTGATCTCTGAGGGCTGTTACGCCACGGATTATTATTATTATTATTATTAAACTTTTATAAGAATGGGAAACTCTTGATATGTTTAGTAATTTTTGAATCCTGCAGAAAAATGTATCGCAGCATTACTTTGAGACTTTCAAGATATGCATAACTTTGGTTTATGTGATTGTTGAAAATTACGCAACATTTTTGGATAGCATTGCAGTTGCTATCTTCAGTGAGAATATGTAATGGTTGTGGTTGGGCATTTTGTGGAAGCTCTTGTATGGGGCTGACAGTAGGTGTAGAGTTGGATTTATTGGTGCAATGGGAGAACAGGCTGCTATACAGTTGGAAAAGAACACATGGTTGAAAATATGCAATTTTTTAAAGGGATGTAGTGAGAAGAGCAGGTGATGCAAGAAGTTTTAGTGACTGAATCAGGAAAGGATTTTCAGCATATACAAAGGAAGCTATTCTTTGGCCATGAGGTTTGAAGTGAAGAGGTGATGGAGCCAGGTCCTTTTCAGGCGAGCTGATAGCAGAAGAGATAGAAGAAGTCATGGGGAGGAGTAGCTAATGGTTAGGTACAGGTGGTTGAGTGGATGGATGGCTTGGAGGAAAACAGATGATGGCAGGCTTTATACTTAATCTGTAATCATGGTTCATTAAACAAATGAACCTAAAAATCTTCATGTGTGAAGAGGACAAACATTTCTGCACTGTTATCCATCAAAATTCGATTCAGGTAATCGTATGTATCATAAAGTTTTCATACATGACTTTCGGATATAGATCCAAGTCTTATTTCAACGTTATAGGCAGCTCATATGCGTTAAGTTGGGTTATAAGTATGATATTTATTCGGTAATTTCGAAATCAGAATTGCCCTCAGGATTTTATTATAGAAGGCGGGAAATTATGTGGTTGAGATGAACATTTCATTACATACTATTACCGGCATGGAATGGGGGTACGTATCGCGTAGGTCGAAATGGGGGTTATGGAAGTCAGTAGGGAGTAAGAATGAGACAGGTCTGTTTAGGGCCGCAGGTCGAAAAGAAGAACAAAGATGATGGAGAAATTACAGTTTAAGGTTATTTGTAACAAACGTAAAACAGTAATGGAAAAATACGTGTTTATTTTCGCAAATCATCTTTGTATGTGATTTATGTAAGTTTTTGTGTTACTGCATTTAATTGCCTGAACCTGGGTTGCCAGAACGTTTTGATTGAAACTAAAATAACGTTCAGAAAAGAAAAACATGGGTGGTTTGTTAAATTGTGTTTATTGTTTGTGGTTGGAAGAGGTATTGTGGTTATGTACCTCGATCTTGTAATTTTATATTCGGCCGTTTCAAATACAGGTTGCTGTGAAATATATCTATATAAGAAAATGTACTGTCTCCCCCAGACTGAATTTCTGTTATAAACTAATAAAACCGTATGGCATGTTATCAAGCCGTGTAAAGACGTTTACTCATGTTGAGGAAAGTTAAAACGAAGTGTCATCATGGCTACTGAGAGTATTTTTCTCTCATCGGAATCTCGGTAGCACCATGGTTGAGAGCTTGAAAACCACCTTTAAAACTTCTGTGTTCTAGGTTCGATTTTTATATTACATTAGCTTCTATGCGTTTCATTTATCCCAGATCAGGATGTGGAACAAGTCAGAAAAACACACATAAACACTGTCACAATAAATAGTAGTAGCATAATAAGTTTGAAGTTCTGTTCATCATCAAATGTCTGCTATTAATGTGATATTTTTATTTCATAAGCATATTTTAGGTGAGATTTCAGGTTCTCATGGTGTCAAGTATGAAGATGGCTGTCATTTATCTGGGATGTTGTGTTATGTAATTTGGTACACTTTGACCAGTGTTTCAGAGACGCTTACTGCCTCCACCATGAGAGCAATGATTGATGGAGACAGAAGCAAATCTGAAATATTGGTCAGTGTCTGTCATTACTTGGCACAACATCCCAGAACACATCAGTCTTCAAGATATTTTTCTGTTACACTACAAGAATATATTATTTATAAAGTATTCATGTCACTGTAATTATGAAACATTTGTAGATAATTGCTGTTACTTAAAATTTGAGGATTTAATGTGCATTACTATATAAGTAATGAAGCCTAGCTAAATTTGAAACTGTCTTTGTGTAACCAAATATTGTCTGTGTAATAAATTAAAGTATAACATGGGGGTTAAAAGCAGTGTAGGACTATTCGATTATACAAAAACCATTGGTTGTGAAGTTTATGGTTGTTCATAAAGTACAGTTACTTTTTAGGCTTATAAGTATTGAAGCAGGCATGTAAGCTAGAACCAGTCATAAAGAAATCTGGATAGTTGTAAATTCACCTTTGTTCAATACATGTGTGATACCTAATATAAATAAGAGACATATGTTGTATTTATATATACTTCTGTTTCAGCACTGGTTTGAAATTAATTAGATGTACCAACTTTTGTAAACTACCTAAAATTATTTCCATCATGGATTCTGAAATAACTGTTTCAAACATGGATGCACAACAATTACCTATGAATGGCAGCCACATAAATCTTGATGACTTCAAGATGGATAGTAACTTTGCGTGGTTGCTCTGTTCTCTTGTTTCAACTATGGCTTGGGTTATCTACATAACTTATTACAATTCAAGAGTTATCGGCTACTTCATAACACGTTTATTGAATCGGTTTCTAGTTAGGGAAGGTTACATGCATGTAGGTAAGTTTGATACAGAAGTCTGTATAATGGACTTGAATTTGTGAATTGTGGTTGAATAATGTATTTTATGTTATAGGTTCATTAATGTAGTTTAGTTGTAATTTTGATGACCAAATTTGAAGGTTAAATTGTGTATCATATCTGTCATTTCCCCACAATACTACTACATAATTAATTAATTCATGGAGAAGCGATATTCTTCTGTGTGACCACCATCTCCGCCTCTCTGTCATTCTCAAAACGCTGACGCTGACCGGACAGGAATTTCTTGAGGTGTAGGAAAAGATGGAAATCACTGGGAGCGAGGTCCGGGCTGTAGGGTGGATGATTAAACACCTCCCAGCTGAACTCCTGCAGGAGACTCGCTGTCCGTTGAGCCGTGTGCGGCCTAGCGTTATCACTGGCCGCACTTCACAGTCGGCGGGAGCTGGAATAAGAATCTCCATCTTCAACAGCTGCAACGATGCTACTGTGAGAACGCGGGAGGTGCCGTTAGTGCATGCGCCATGCTACGTCATTGCTCTATCACGTACGCACAGTCGCTTCGCGCAATATAAGGTTTGCTAGCTGTGGGACGAGTGGGAAACTTACTTTGTGGACGCGCCTCGTACTATTAGTCGCTCAGCTAGTCAATAATTTCCATACCTTTTATGAAACCTGAAAGTTCATTACTATGGATTGTAGGTTGTCAGGTTGTGACATGAACACTCGTTCCCATATGTATCTCATGTGGCATTTTGACATATGATTGAATGAATTATTGCTTAATGCATAGGTCAAGTACAGTACAGCAAAAGTTAAAACAGGCTGGGTTTTTGGGAGATATGAGTAGGCCAATTCATAATGAATAAGCTTATTTTTACTATGCTGTCCAGAAAACTCTGTATTTGTGAACATGTCATGTGATGTGGTGGAGAATTACACCATTTATATTTTTTAGTTAACACCTTCACATTGACACAGATAAATGTATAAATATAAGATATGCTAGTTGCTGGGTTGAAATACATTTATTATTAATGAACAGCTTACTAATTGTAAAGTTGAACAGGTAGGTTTTAAAATGGCTTGACTCAAAGTTTATATAGGAATAAAAAGGACAAACCTGTATGTATGTATGTATGTATGTTTACTGTTTCTTTGCTGTTAACCAGTGACATTCATTTTTTAATTTATTGAAGGTTCATTAACTTGCTATGTGCTGTCTGGGAAGATAATGTTTCGAGATGTAGTATATATCTGTCATGACTATACAGCTAGAGCACAAGATGGATGGTTGATCTTCCGTTGGTGGAGAGCATATGTGCCCAAAGATGTATCTGAAGGTAAGACTGACTGCAACATAAGAGTCATATATGTCTTGGTAATAGAAGAGAAAGTATGGAAGTTGAGGGAAGTTGACTTCAGATTTTAACCAGTCAACTGGTCTGCTTCCTCTCTGCACAGTTGTGCATTAAACTTTGATTAGAATTTAATGCAACTCCATTACTCACCCACACTGTGGTAATAGAACCCATAGATTTAATGCTACTGATATGGATGCCTGCCATTGGTCATGTTCCTGGTCAGTTCAGTGCAGTTCACGTTTCATCTGTTTCCATAAAATCCATATTGCCATCTTATTATTTACAAGAAGTTTTCCAACAGAATTTTTATGCATTTCTTCCTTCTTCCATGTTCATGTCTCTGTGTTTAGCGCATTCTAACACTACTAGCAGACTTGTTTTCATGAGAACCAGAAATCTCACCAACATCCTGAGTATTCTCACATAAGCCCTGAAAATGGAGGCTGCATGGCTCAGCAAACTAGATGATCAAAATTTAAAACTCACACTGCCATGAAAATTACAAATTCCACACATTTTCTTATTTTACAGATCTATCACATTCGGATACGCGGCTGTCTGTAATGCTGAATGGATTTGAACTACATGTTTACAATCGCTGTGAAATGTATGGTAACCTTGAAAAATTATTTGGTCTGGAACCTCAGATGTTTCCACGTGATGGTGATTCCTCTGGGAGTGGTTCTGGAGGTACCGAGAGTAAGAAAGGTGTTTGTGTGTTTTGTGATGTATTGTATGTGTACATGTATTTCAGAAAAATGTAACAATGTAAAGTAGAAAAGTAGTGAATCTTAAGTAGTATTAAAGTAGATAATTTTCACCCATATTTTCAGCCTGAATTTGTGTTATTTGCATGAAGTTAACAAGTGAATATAATTTGGAGTTTATATGACTTGTCAGTCTGTCAGTTTGTTTCATCTTAAAAAAAATCAACAGATTTTGATGAAAGTTGGTATATGGTGGTTACATTAAAAGGTATTAGGTGAATTTTATTTTGTTCTTTGTTAGTGTAATATAATTCTTACTTTTTCTGAAGCTGATGTGAAATGTTATATAGTTTCTTGAAAGTGGTTCTTTATGAAAAAATATTCATATATATCATAAGATATGAATTTCATTAACTTTTATTTGAAATGGTTGTCTTTGTCAGCAAGAAATTGTTATCTCTAAATTGGAGTTTGTCTTTCTGCTTTTGTTCTGGTTTGCCATAAATTAATACATGGTTTCAGGTGAGCATAACAATGATGAAATGAGAACTACAATGTCATCTAATTCTAGAAGACGACCACAGACAGTAGCCCTGTCTCAGGGACGTAGTTGGAGAGACTTGATTCCTGTCATCAAGGTCGATGTGGCTTCGGTAAGAGGCTTTTGTAGCCCATAGTATGGACAAGTGAATAGGTATACGGTTAACCCTCAATTTGACAGACCTTAATTTAATGGATTCTAGATTTAACAGACGTCATCTTGTATTGCCAGATTCTTTCTGGATGCGAAGCATTAGCAGACATTTTTGGTTTTAACAGACTCCATTGAAACCAAAAATGTCAATTAATGACCATTAAATTTTTCTTTCTGTGTGCATGATTCTCTTGACACTAATGTTTTAATGAACCATGTGTAATTTTAGGTGTCCAGTTTATATTACTAATTACTAATCTGTTTAATGGTGTTCCTAATGGAAATTAGTTTTAAGGATGCATTACTGGCATTATAAAAACAACTGTTCAATTTAACAGACAGTCAGCATTACCAGATGCCTGTTTTGCCCTGTTAATCCATTGAATCGAGGATTTACTGTAATGTTAGAAATAGGTTGTTTGCCTCATATATTTACATAAAACTCGAGAACAGTTTGCCTGCCATGTTGGTGTGATATTGGAAGTACAAAGATGAGTTTGCCTGTAGTGGTAGTTATTAATATCAAGTTTAATTGAAATCTGTCAGTTCAACATTCTATGTTGTCTTTACACAGATAATCAGGAGCATATTATATTCTAATGAAGTATAGGATCCAGAAAATAAAAAATGATTATAAATATGTTTGTGGTATGGAGAAAATATACTGTGAAAGTGGTTCTTCTAGCAGTTTAAATTTAACTTAAGTGCCTGGGGGAATATGTTGGTGTGCCTATGACTGGCATGATAGTTAACTTTAATTTCAGGGTCGAGTTGTCTTTGGTAACCGTCTTGTGCCAACGACTCTCTCCATCAATGTTGAAGAAGCTCATTTTGTTTACTCAACCAAACCAGCTGCATCACGATTGGATCATTTCATGCACTTCACCAAGTGCAAAGCAGAGAATTTCAAAGTAATTCTGGCCCCAAGTCCCAAGTACACAGGGATGGTAGATGATCCACCTAGGTATATGGGTGAAGGATTTGTGGTTCTATCTTCAAATAACATTGAGCTGTACTACTACATGGATGAAGCTGGTCTAGTGCCTGCAGAGCCAGCGATGTTACAACTTGCAAATGGAGATATTGTGGAGTCAGCCCCTCCCATCTGGGGTATGGACATAAAGGTAACTTCATGCATTCATATATTTAAATGGATATGTAAGGACCTTGTAGCTTGGTATCTTATATTGAGACTCCTTGCTAATTGATTAAGAATAAACCACAAAACATATGTAATCTGTGCATTGCCATTTTATGCACTGTTATTATCATCATTCATGGATGTTTCTACATTATTGGGATGTCTGTTTGTAGAGCCATTTCACATTATTCTGTCTCACATGACCTTTCCTCTTGTATGTCTCTCAAGAGTTCTTATTTTCTCTTTATTCCCTATTGCCTTGTCTCTTGAACTTGAAATATATTGTCCTAATTTTATTTACGTGCATAAAGCATCTATCTATGTTCTTTAATTATTTACTCACCTAATATGATTAATTTTGTGCAATATTTTCTTTGAAAATCTTATTTTTGTCCTCCATCTTTATTCTTTATTCATGTTTATATTCCTAATCAAATTTGGGTGCTGATATTTCTGTAAATTTGATCTCTGGGATGGAGAATATAAGGTCCCCATCATAATTCAGAATCTTTGTTAAGCTATTAGTGGTTTATAGATTATTTAATGATGCTGTGCCAATTGCAGAGGTTGTTTATAATTCATTAATTTGAAGGTGTGATACAGTAGGGCACCGCATATACAGCAGGTTGGGGACCAGACCCCCGCCGAAAAGCGAAAATTGCCAAAAAGCGGATCTTTGCCTTTTTTAAATTCCAAATGCATATCAAAGCCTAATAAGATGCTTACACTATCATATAGTAAGTGCACAATAGCGCTGGGCCTAAGAAAACGATATGAAAGTAAAAAAAAGCTGTAAACAGACTGAATCAGCGACGAGAAAATGGCACCGGACTCACTTCTATGACTCAGCTGTTGAACACGTGGGGCATATGCACGCAATTGAAAAGCGCCGTATTAGCGGATCACCAAAAAGCGGGACCCTACTGTAATGTTTAATTAACTTTAAAGGATTGGAAAGAAGGTGACTGTAGCTCATTTCGTAGCCATATCATGATTTGTTACACTGCATTCCCCTTCTGTTGGCCACCATTTTTATCATTTAGAGTAACAGAAGATGCTTCATGGATGCTGTAACCCAGTGTCAATTCCTTTACTTTGCTAGACAGACAGGGGCCAGGAAGATTCATAAGATCTGAACTTGGAATGCACACATACAAGTACACATTTTTGTACCCACACTCATAATTTAAAAGTACAGTATTGTCAATTACTGCATTATTTTTATGCTTATTTATTTTAGAGATTTGATAGGGATTGGTAAAACATTTTATATTTAAAATCACTTTGTACCCAAATGCTTTTCAACAAGATTTCTCTTTGGTGGTATGAAAATGACATCAGTTTTGACAAGTTCAAGATTTTAGAGTATCTTTTTATATTATATAATTATTTGAATTTCTACAGTGTGGAAAAGGGACTGATTTTAGCTATGGACCCTGGGCAGATCGACAGCGAGATCACCTTTTCAAGTTCTTCTTTCCTAATGATTTCCAACCATTAAAGGTAATGAAGTTAACATTAACTTATTTCAGTAGCATAACTACAGGCTGGTGCAAAAGTCAGGACACACTTGAAATAAAAATTCATGGGCATGTGTTTTTTCCTTACAATTTTGTGTTTCATTTAATTACTTCTAATATCTACTGTGCAAATATTTGTACAGTCATATACATAAATATCCTTACTAGAAGTATTCAAAATGCCCACCTACCACAGCTAAAGTGACTGAATTTGAGGGCTGGCCATTGTGTCTTGTCTTTTGTACCATCTGTATGCTGTGTACAGTAGTAATCATGTTTCTATGTCAGTTCCTTAAGCCTTTCCAAGTCAATCTGAGATTTGAACTCAGAATCTCCTGAATATGAAATAGGAATGCTAACCATTAAACCATAACATCGTTTCATAATAGTATATTTTTGTGTGTTCTTTGGTAAAGGTGAATGAAATGAGCACTTTATTAGAAGATGATTTAATTTGTCTTCATGTTATTTCTCCAAAACTACTGAACAGATTTCAATGAACATAAGATATTGATTGAATCTGGCTTTGCAATGAATGTTATCAACATAAATTATTTTTGAACCATATCAGTCCAATGTGATCAGTATTTTACATGAAGTTCAAATCAAACCCTTTCCCAAAAATATTGTATAAACAGTTGTGGAATGTAAAATAATAGATCTAAGATCTACAACTTATATTTGAAGTGTTTTTCTATGTGATACATATTTAACACCATACATGGGAAAAAAATGTGAGTAGTTTTACAGCAACAGATTAATAATCTGCAATAAATGAGTAGTAAGGCTAATGAGGTATGCTGAACTGCATAGAATGCATTTTGAAGTATGTATGAACTTGAAGTTGAGTAACATCTATGAAGCCTTCTTTATGTCACTCTGAACCCATGGAAAATAAGTTTTATTGAAGAATTAGTCTCTCCCATAGAGAATTAGTATTTATGTTGCCATTTGTTTTTTATTTCCATACTGTAGGTTACCTCCTTATTGACATTTATTGCCAATAAATGTTATAGGTGTCATGCATAGAGAATTCAGAAATCTTTATAACAGTTCTCTAAGCCATCGAGTGTTTCTGTCACTTGCCCGAAATGAAAACATTGGGGCATTTTAACATTAGAGAGGATTTCTGTTAGAGCATTAGACTTGAAATAGTAACAAACATTATCCACATTTTTTTTATTTTTACTTTATCACACTTATACCTCATTAAGATGTAAGTATAAAATTATTTAAACATCTGTGGCACTGAATCAGAACTCAGAGCAGGAAGCTGCAGATAGTATTTTCATTTGAGGTAGTAAATACATTCAAAATCAGCAAGGGTAATGCTTTGAGCAAGTTATATTGGCAAAATAACTTTCTGCATGCAGCTTATACTGTTGTTGATTGTTCAAAATTTGGACATTATGTGCAGACATTTATGGACAATATTAGTGTAATACTTTGTTTTTCACACATTTATGTATTGAAAGAAGTGAATACCTGTTCTTAAACTGTCCCTCAGGTAACTAAAGCTCTGCAGCCAGGAGAGAAACGATCAGCCACTTCATTTGACATTCGTCTGAGTACTCTGAATGATGCCACTGTAGACATTCTGTTTTCTAAAAATAAAGTAAGTGTGTGCGTTTGTTTTTTTACATAATCTTGGTAATATAGATAGTAATGCATTTATAGGATTGGCTATGACTTTATAATCTTTGAAGACAATTTTAAACTTGACCATTGTTTCTGTTTTGCTGAAGATGTACAGTGCTATTACTAATATTTGTATGTCTTCTATTCATTTTCATTTAATTGTACTTTCATAAAGCTTTATAGATCGGTAAACTGTTTTGTCATGTTACACAGGGTATATATAAATTATCTTTACAGATTTGCTCATGAGTAAAATCTTTATGAGAAACTGAGTTATTGAGAGATGATAGCAGACTTTTTTTCATTCACTGCATCATCTTTGTGAATCAGGTCAGTCAGCATGGAGCCACAGGAGAAGGCACAGTGCATGGAGTGGTTTATCGAAACAAAATTGGATACATTGGTCCAAAGATGTTCCAGAACACTGTATCACAGGATGCTTGATTGTGCATGCATCTCTTAATCATTTCTCAGACCTATGGACTGGCCATGCTGGTTCCATCTCTTGGCTGGCCAGACCATCAGATATCACACCCTGTGGTTTTTTCTTGTGGGGATACATAAAAGACTGTGTGTACCAAATGAATGGAGCTTGAATGTTGTTTGGACATAGTATGTGTGACAAATGGTGCCCATGTTGAATGCATATAATGTTCAAAACAAACTTTGAGAGTTTCTTTCACAAATGATACTGAAACAATGTATCTGTGTCTTTCAGTAAAGGTTTCACTCATGAGTAAAGTTGAAAAGATAATTTATATACACTCTGTATGTTATATTACATTACCTGTTGAACCATATTTTGGCTTGCAGTCATTCATCACTTACTTTTCTGGATTCAGATAGAGTGACTGTCTAGTCAATAGATGATGTAAGTTCAACTCTGACTTGTTTGTGGAATTGTCACATTTGTTTTTAAGCATATTAGTTTTATTATTTTGACAGCTATATGATGTAATGGTGTAATTGAGTAAGCATTGTCATACACCATTAGAGAGTTGTTAATGTAGCAGTACTGATTTACTTTTCAGGAAACAAATGCTGTTCATGTCAATGTGGGACCTGGGTCGTACCTGGAGGTGACAATGCCATGGGTTGTGGGTCAGGATGGTTACTCAACCAAGATCACTGGCCAGTTATTGCACCTGGAAGCAACAACCAGTTTGCAATACCGTTCCCTAGTTGAAAGTGAGACACTGGAATTTACTGTCAAATGTCACTATCCCATCAAGTGGAATGATCATCAGGAGTGGATTTTGAACCTCACAGGGTGTAAAGCTACTGTTAACCTCATATATGCCCACAAATGGTTCTTTCAAGGTATGTCCCGCATGACAAGAAGATTTGATTATTTGAAAACAGGCTGTGCAACTTGACTGTTTTACCTGACATGTATTTAGGAGGTACTAGTTTTAATCAGCTCAGATATTGGCTTTCCTGACTGAGTTCTTTGATGATTTTCATTGGTTATTCTAGGAATATATGTGACATGCCACAACTGCTCTCTTCTCTGTTGTTTCTAATCCATTACATAAGCTGGTTTTTCATCTGATTCAACCTAGTTAATTGTGTAATTCATATTGTCCCATAAGTAACATACAGACCACTGCAGTATTTGTAACAATACATGAACATTTATAGAATTTAAAAAGTGTAATAAATATTTAATATTAAATACAATTTAATATTTATATGATGAAAGTTTACATACATCCTACAACAGTAATGTCAAATTTCAGATTCAGCAGTTCAGTACACTGAACAGATAATAAAGAAAATTGTTTTCTTCCTAAATATCCTGCTGGATGTGATGTGGTACTCATGGTGTCTGGTGTGTACTTTTATGATTCAGTTATGTCTGCCCATGTTCCAGTGGATAACTAGGAACTCACATCAGTTTTTTATATTTGGTTTGTTTTTGCAGTAATACATTATTTTTACATAGTCTGTTCTGTTATATCTGATAAAATACAAGTTTAAAGTTGTTTGTTTGTTTGTTTTATGATACTTTCTGAACTACGTACATTGTATAGCATTCACTGGAGGATAATTGGAAAAACGTAATTATTAGCTGTTTTGAGGTCTCAGCATTTGAATGGAGGAACTGAAAAAAATCACCCAGAAGAAGTGGCTTCTGGACCAAATATTGAACCTGAAATTTATTAGATACAAAGTAGGAGGTCTAGCAACTTAACCAAAATGCCTGTATTTTTTAAAGCAATAGCAGTAGGCCAGAACAGTTTTCCCTATCCCCACCCTACTTGATCCCCAGACTCCTTGAATTCTGAAATAAGATGAAGTGATTCAGATTGTGAAGAGTTTAATATGGTTTCATTTTATTTTAGATCTGGTTAATGACTGGGCAAGCAAGTCTAGGCCAGATTTGCTTCACTTTGTGCCCTATACATGGATAATAACAGTCATAATAAAGGAGTTTGAACTTATCACACTGTGTAATGAATACAATTGGATTGACTGCTCATCACAAAACCAGGAAAATGCTCACATTGCATTTTGTGGAGATTTGTTTGATCTCTCCTTTGATCTGCCATTCTGTGACTTCTTACCTACTACAATTCCTCTGAGATTCTGGATACAGGTAATTTCCATTGTTTTAATTCTGAAAGAATTTTAAAATTAATTTTTATTTTCCTTTTATATGTTTAATATTCTATGGTTTTCAGGGTGAAAGTGTTGACTTGGTCCTATATTTGCCAGAAATTTGTACAAGTCGTAGTATACTGTTGGCTCTTGATGCAAATGCAAAACTGCTTGGGCATGATATAAATTTACGTCAGAGAAATGATGGTACCAGAAAATGGAGGAATGTCTGCCAAAAAAGGTAAAAAACTTATGAAATTATTTGTTCATTATTATTTCTCTTTGTGGTTATTTTAATCTTTTGTCTTGCTATTTTAAATTGTCATTTATTTCATAAAGTAATTTTATTCAATGATATTTCTCCAACTGAAAAATTAGAATACAACATATTGCTTATTATGGAGGCATTTGGTTCATATTCCAGTTGACTTGGATTTTTGTACTTATATATCTGTCCCTTGTGTTAAATTCTCGGACAATAATTTATTAATGTACAAGAATATATACTTAAAATGCTCTAGTTGATATAGTGAGGCCATCTAGGGATGCAAGCCCATGGCACATTTGTGGTGTGTCCTTACAAATAAGAAAATCCAAATAATTTCCTTGACTGTATAAATAGTGTATACCATAATATCCAGTTCACCATGGATTTATTTGTGGAGGGCCAACTTTCTTCCGTACCTTTTTTTGATGTATTTAATTAATTTCACTTCTAGCATTGGATGGGTTGATTGTTGGTCTGTGCCAATTGTAGCTCTCTGCATTAACTATGTGTATCATCCTGTGCCGCCTTTGGGACCTCCACCCCAAGCTGATATCACTACCCCAGAGAAAGAGGAGATATTGTTATCCCCTATGAGAATACCAAGGTGTAGGAAGTCTCCAGGCATACACTGGAGTCAGGTTTGTATCTTGTGATATATTTAAATTCAACCACAATACATGCTTTAAGCACAAAATGGCACAACTCTCATGTCTGGATTTTGACAGCATAATCCTTATACAGTTTAAAATATGTCATGTAGTGTTGCTGAGTACCAAATCAAAAATGTTATGAGGGGTTGGACATACAGCATAAATGGGAGGAACATGAAATTTATACTGCAGTTTGGTGGGATCATTGAAATGCAGACATTTAAAATATTGAGAAGGAGAATGGATCTTGAGTAAAATTGATTATTAATATATGGTGTGGATTGAACTGCGGTAGGATCGTGTCTTATTGTGTGCTTTGATTCCAGCAGTTCTGAACCTTTCATGTTACAGAACCAAGTGAGAAATATTACTTTATATTATGTGCAATTTTAATAATTTGATAAATGTGGTTTAGGAGGGAATTACATGTATCTTCTAATGTTGTTCATAATCTTACAAACTCACTTTACATATGTGATCTTATATGATTACTAATAACATTTTTTAGTGTTCTGTAATTGTATGCTCAGTATTGGACTATATTTTTTGACATATATCTAGGTATGAACCTGAGAATAGAATGTCTCAAATAAAATAAGGATGCAAACTGCATTGTTACTTTGTGTAGAATATATGCAAGTTAACAGTTATTTTGAAAAAAATTACTAGTACGTACTTTGTGTAGAATATATGCAAGTTAAAAGTTATTTTAAAAAAAATTACTAGTACATTACGATACTTACAAAGTGTACACCATTGAATGTGTTAAAGTCTTCTATTGCCTTATGTCAGCTTGATTCACAGTGCATTCCATAACTTACATAGCAGACAGACATCATGCATAAATGAAGTACACTCTTCTAATTACACCTGAAATATGCATTTGTTCATTCTTGTTTTATATTAGTTTTGAATCATATATGTCTATGTTGCAGGATGGCTCACAGAAATTTGATCCAACTACTCTTCCACCAGATAAAGTTACCTTGGAGCTTGAGATAGGACCATCTGTTCTGTTGGTGTATGGAGCTTGGCTGAGGAAATTTATGCACTTAAAGGTATGTACGTAATAAGAAAGAGTTTATTTTACATATTTGGACTTTCCTTAAAAATTTTAATTCAGCTACTAAAGAAATTGTATGTTGTAGGATTAGAATGTTTATCATCATATTTACAGAAGGCGGCTATGAATTCTATCCTGATCCAGTTCAGTCTAATTTACATATCTATAACTCAATTATCCATTTTAATATTATGCTCTCATATTTCATGTTTTAAATGGCCGTATCCATTTTAATATTATTCTCTCATATTTCATGTTTTAAGTGGCCATTTTCCTTGAGGATTTGCAGCGAAAGTTTTGTAAACATTTCGTTTTCTACCATAAATGCTGTATACTACTGAGCTCTGTAATGTATAAACATATTTTTATGGAACAGGAAAATATATTTGGAGAGGACCAGGCTTTCACTGACATGTATCAGAGCCGTGCAGCATCCAGTTCTTCTGTTGGGGATGCAAATGCTGTCACAGGAGCACCTGCAAGTGCAGCAGACAGAGGAACTGATGTTTCAACCAGCACTGGTGCAGCAGATGAAGCAGATATCCTGAAACAAAAGGAATTTGATCCAAGACAGTACCGTCCCTTTGAAGTGGCTGTATCTATCACAATGCATGATATACAGGCACATCTTATCAAAGTAAGTGTGTGATTGAAACTAGGGGAACACTTTGTTAAATGCCTTGAAGTCTGGCACATTTCTTCTAAGGTAACTCATGATGCCAATTTTTTATCCCCAGTGTTTCATTCCTAAGTTCAAAAAGAAAAGTCATTAGACCATATTCTGAACCAATGCAGTCCAGATCCATTTTAATAGTATCCTTTCATTTGTGCTTAGGTTTTCCAAATTGCATCTTTCCATGAGGTTTTCCAGCTGAAGTTTTGTGTGTATTTCTCAGCTTCACAGTGCATGCTTCATGTCCTGCCCATTATATATTCTTTAATGTTATAAATAAGCGTTGAATTGTATGAGCATCTGATGCACACTTTCCATTATGACAGAATTGCAGTGAAGGGGATCCACCTTGTCCAGTCATTCTTCTCGAAAGATTTGGTTTTGAGATGAAGAAAGGCTACAGAGAAACACAACTTCAATTATTACTATCTCCAGCAATACTTCTGTCAAGTGACAAAGTAACTCGACCAAGTAAGGAAAGCCATCTCACACAAGGACATCTTATGCTTTCTGGATTCCAGGTAAACCTAAAAATCTATAGAACAGCCTTTGTTGCGCTGTGTAGTCTGGTCGATGTTAACCAACGTTTCAGAGGTCATACTGCCTCCGTCATCGCCCTGAAGACGGAGGCGATATGACCTCTGAAACGTTGGTTAACATCGACCAGACTATACAGCGCAACAACCCAGAAGACGGAAATCTTCTACTACTACTACTATTAGTAAATTTCTTAAAAAGATGTATTTAGATGTTACAAATGTGAAGACTATAACTTTTTATGTTTATATTTGCTCATCTAATTAGAGCAATGTGCAGTAAATAGTATCTCTCAAAGATAACAGAGTGTAATTTCCTTCTCCATTTTTTCCCACAGTTTTCATAGCCTGTAATCTGTATATCAGACTTTTCTGTTTTGAAAATCAGATATCTGTTAGCCAAAATGTCTTGATATAGCCTAGATCATGAAATCATATGTTATAATTATATTATTGCTTACTAAGTTACATAAATTACCCATTGTTTTTCTGTTTTAATTGTTATTTTACTAGTATCTTGTGTTCAGTTCTATTGCATATTGAGTTTTAATACGTAGTGCTGCAATAATTAGGTTTATGTGTCAAATACTCTGTTTACCTATCTATAGAACAGCCTCAGATATAAAATAATCTGAATGAATTTCTGTATCAAGTGTCTTGCTTCCATGTGGTGTCTTACATGATTGTGTCATATGGTTATTAATCTTTTGTTCAATAGATTATTTTAAATACTTAAAAAATGGGATTCTTAAATTTAATATCATTAAGTACATATATTTTTAAGTAGTAGCACTGTTGCTGTATATTGTACATTAAAATAAGTTCACAGTAACCACCAAAGAGGATCACTGTATTTTCAAAAATTTAAGTGACATCAGAAAATGATAGCTTACTTTGACATGTTTGTTTCATGTGAGAACACTTGCACAAAATTTTTGTATGACAGCAAATAAGGATAAAAGTATGAAGCTCTGTCTTAAGTCTGATAAATACATTTAATATACATATATATAGTAGGTAAGTAATAATGCTGTTTGTCACACATTTTCATATATTTTACCAAATAGTTTGGTTGTACCCTCTTAATTGTTGTGCGGTAGATCTAATTGTCCAGCACACTGTCACAACCATGATCCTTAGTTCATTCTTTATTTTTGTCTTGGCAGTTGTCTGCTCTTAGAGTAAGTTTACTTTAATAAGATGAACAAGTTTAGCAGTCTTGTTTCTTGGGATGTATCCTGCATGCTAAGTAGGGTGTGGGTGTAATTATAATATTGAACTGCATCTTTTCCCTTATAGGTTCGAGGTCATGCCATGTTCAGTGATGAAGGTAGAACCTTGGATGAAGAGACTGTGGAGTATGCATGGCTAGTGGAAATACAATTGGGAAAGTTGAGTGGAAAGCTGACAGCACCACAGGTAAGATGCAGTTGAATTTTTTCTTCAAAGGTGGAAGCAGTAAGTTTCTTAGAAACATTGGTAACCACTTAAAAGACTACAGAAAACCACAATCAAAATAATCTTTGTTATGAAAATATCAAATCTCACAGTTAAATATTTTTATTTTATATTCCTTTCTTAATTGCTTTCCATCTATATTTCTTTCTATCACTTATCAGGTTTGTGTAATTATGTTTTAGAGTAAACAGCTATTATGCAATGTGATGGAGAAGTGCTGTGTTTTCCATATGTTATAGACTGAATTTTTAAACAAAATTTGGAAGAGCTTTGGCTTAAAAGGGTTAATGTGTATTTCCTGTAATTTCCTGTGAAGCTCATGTATTTTAATATATAGTAATTTGTTTCATTGTAGTAAGTCTTCTTGAAAAATTGTTGTTTTTTCAGCTTATTTATGAAACCAGAATGTTTATCACTGTGGACACAGTCCTGAGGTAGTCCAATCCAATCTACACATTCACGTCTTCAACATTAGTGATGATCTACAGATAATGTCTGAGATTTGTAGTTCACAAACACATTTTGTACTTGTAGTTCTTTATCTTGACTGAAATATCAGTGTATTTTGTTTAATGACACTTCATCAGTTATGCAGATTGTATGGGACCCAGTGGATGAATAAGTGAATGTTGAATTGAGAAGGGCATGGAGGGAAACAGTCATGACCTTTGTCCTAACATTTAATAGAGGATTGCAGAATACCACAGAATTCCTCCATCATAATAATCAGTCTTCAGATAAAGAATTGAACCCTGGAACTCTCAAATACAAAGCAGGAGTGCTTACTACAGAGTCATATCATTTGGTTAATTCATATTTTGTTTTATTGTGTATTTAATATGATTTTATCAACTGAATGAGTATATATCATTGAATGTCAGAGTGGTTGTAAATTAGAAATGATGTTGAAATAATTATTCATGGTCTGCGTAAAGGTTCTCTCTTGGAATCTGCCTAATTGAATGTGCTGATTTCTTTATAGCTTCACCACCTTGTTACCAGTTTGGAGACTTTTGCTTTGCTTGCAAAGGATGCAGAGAATAACTTGAGGCCCCCTCGCTTACCCAAGGTTTGTCATCATGGAGTACCTCCACTGCAATGCAGTGAATCTGATCCAGATACTAGGTATCGATGCCCATCTGGTGATGATATCAAATATAGAATGACTCGTCTGGCAGTTGATGCAGTTGACCTGTACTTGCTAGAAAGCAGTACAGCATTTCGAATTTGGGTATGTTTTATTTTCTCTGTTCATAGATATAATAACAATTTTGTGTGTTGGGAGAAAGTTGGGTCTATACTGTTATGGTTCATGTTTTAAATGTGTTGGAACAGAATAAAATATTAGTATTCAAAGCACCTGATGAATTTTGAAATGTAAGGAGGAGTTAAAATCCTTTTTCCAACCTGAATAATATGGAGTTCACTGCAGTTACATTTTATCTTTAAGACTTGAAACCTGTTCTTTATTTTAAGGCATCTCCAATTCGTATTGCTACGTGTAACCTTCATGGGCACTTGGTAAAATCTGGTGTAACAGGTGTATTGCCAGCAGTGCAGGTCAGGCAATTTGTGGCTACTGGTAGCAATTTTAGTGGTGGGAATGCTAATCACAGTAACACCAATACTACAAGTAGTGGACGATCTCAACATAATCCAAGCAGGTAATACATTTCTATTCGATGAAACCTTAATTTACTTTTTCTGTAGGGGTCAGTGGATTTGAACACTACATTTAGGAAGTTCTTAAGCAGAGGAAATTTAATGTAGAAAATATGTGTGGGATCATCAGGTTTCCTAACTCACACTGGGAGCAGAAATAGTGTGAGTCACCCATGACTTGTATTGTTTTTCTTCTAAATTGTGTATCTCTGGATTTAAGATAGCAACAGAGACTAATGGGACATGCATGATTTCTGCATACAGTGTGAAAATACCTTTATAGAATGCAATTCAGTCAATAACTTGATTTTGATAAAGAGGTGGCTTTTGTCGTGTTTGCAGTTATCGATTTTAATGTAAGTTGTATTGCTAGAAAAACTTCTAAAGCTATGGGCATTTCAGGAGCTTCAGTTTATGTCTAAGTATAATGTCTCTGTAATAAATTGTACTGTAAAATATGTATTTCCATTTTTTCACATTAGATCAAATCTACTGTATCATAGTGATAAGATTATAGAAGCCTGTTTCAGTACATGTTTGTGTATCAGTCAAATGCTTTGATTGTGGTCTGTAAAGTACCAGAGCAGCCTTCGCTATTTCATACATTGCAGTACTTTACCATAAGAGCAGTGGTCCCTCTTGACTTCAGATGAACCATAATAATTTTTACCACAGTAATATAAAATTATAAGTGTAAGCCTCTCATTGCCATAGTGTTATGAATCATGCATTTCCATGAGCCATATTTTCTTGGAGGAAGTTTTACTGAATGGTTTATATCACATAATTTTATATTTTAACCTCACAGAGTTGAACTATGTAAAAGATATACAGTTTATCATTTATTTTGACAATTTTTATTTTATTTAAAATTCTTGGCTTCATAACATTACCAGGTTTAGAGCACTTGATTAATGAATATATCAGACGTAACATTCAGTAAAATGAATTTTCTCTCTCTCTTTCTTTTTTTTTTCTCCCTCCCTCGAAATTGAACTAAGTTCCTGGTGCTACATAGAGTCTTGAACTTGAAACTGAGTATTTACAAAACATGAAAATAAATATTTGTTTGTTAGACACTAAAAAGATTAACATCTCTTTCTGTTTGTAAGCTGTGCTCAAACACTATAACATGTTCCAGCAGAATGGACAGTTTGTTAGGAGAACTCTGGCTGGAGGTGGGTTCCATCTCTTTAGGGCCTCTTGTGGTAGAAGCAGCAATGTCTCTTCCAGCTCCTGAACATAACCTACATTTAGTACAGCACAGGTAATTTTTCTTGTAAATCTAATTATTAGAATGAAAAACAATAAATGAAACCCCATTAAAACTTATAAAACTATAGTGATACAAATTCTGACATGAGACGGATAGAGAAATGGGTCAAATATTGTGAAAGAATGAATGATGAAAGGTTGCCAAAATGTGTGATGTAATATTATCTGAAAAAAATAAGGGATTTGAGATAAGAAGAATGGGATTGTATTACATTGCAGTAGGCTTCTGGTCTAACCTTGTAGTAAAGGCATGAAGGAACAATTGTGTGAATGAATATACAGTAAGTTTTCTATGAAATGTTTATGAGTGTTACACTCTCATTTCAGTATAAGTAGATTGACACTATATAGTCTGAGGTACTGACAGCATTGCTAAATAAATCACAATAAATAAAAAATTGTGTATTGTCTCAAGATCATACTTATTATGTTTCCAGTATGCTGTTGCTCAGAATTTTGGGATAAAGCCTTGTAACACAATTTACAACCTTCTGTACCCATTATGTGGATATTACTCCAATATTGTGAACACTCAGTTTTTCTTGCAATTAGATTTTGGTGTAATGTCATCTGCTGTGTAACTAATTAATTCCAGCAGCATCCTTGAGAAGCTAATAGCATGTTCAGCTGGTCAAGAAATTCCCCACATTTTATGGAAAATGATACCATTCCCATATTTTACTGTCTTACATTGTCTCCATTTATTTTGCATAAATTCTGCTACCACTGCAGTTTAGCATTCTGCATTTTGAACATTCTTTACTGTTCAGTATGTTTGATTTATTTGAAAATGATCTGTCACAGGTATTTACGCACACATGATGAGGCATTCAAGCGATTATGGTTCTTATGGTCAGGAGAAAGTACTAATAGTAAGGCAGTTGGACGCTGTGGTTGTATTGGTGGCTGTGCATTCTTTGGTACTAACCGAAATGGTGCCAAGTTTTTTAAACCTAGTCGGGATGACTTTCAAGATGGAGTTAATATGGCAGCATTCAGGTGAGTTTAGAAATTAAACATCTGCTTTTAGAACCCATCTACATGACAAATTTTTCTAAAAGGAGAATGCTGTTTCCATCTACATGACAAATTTTTCTAAAAGGGGAATGCTGTTTCTGTTGTTATTGGTATTGTTATTTTAAGTATTTTTGTTATGGATACTTAAAAGTCTTAAGTATTTTTTTTATAAACATTTATTCAGCATGCCCCATTACAAGATTGCAATATTACATGCATTAATATAAAACACTTTAACAGATTGTACAACTGTAGTGTCATGATACATTGATATGTATATAAATTGTGGAAATAGGTTAGCAACCATTTAAAATATTCTTGTGCTGCTGCTCACATTGTCTTAAATTCTCCTATGAGAAAATTTCATATTTAGAATATGCTGACTAATGTCAAGAATTATAATTATCTGTGTTCAGAAATTATTATATATCCATTTCATATTTAGGAGTTTTACCTAACATGTCTCTGCATATCTATAAAAGAATTTAAAATGATTTTACTGTGATTAGGACTGTAGCATAGTTGCAGGATTAGAGCAATGTAATGTGTTTATGTTCTTATAAATAGTAGCCACTTAGGTTGGAACATGTTGATAAACTGATGATTTAAAATTTTAACAGATAGAAGATGGATCCAGGTGCCCATCATTAGTATTTTTTTCTGTGATAAATCTGAAATATTCGTTACTTGTTATGATAACAGTTTTTCAGCATCTCATTTCATATAAACATACCAGATTCTGTGCTAATTTTGCATTAATTTGGTGTTGTGTTTGGAAAATGAAATAACAAAATGAAGCTTCAAATTGTCCAGAATCAACCTGGCCATGCAGTTGGACTAAAAATAAATTAAATGGAATACAGTGTCCATCAATATTCTATATTTAATACACCATATTTTTGTCCCCAGCCACAAATAGAACTGATATGGTTCATTATATTATAGCAGTTCTTCCTTTCAAAAATATTAGTTACCAGGTATTCATTGAAATGTATATTTTATTGCTTATCTCATCCTCTGATATACAGCATTGATGTTTCAACTCAGCTCTTTTAACCTTTACTAAAATTGTGAATATAGGAATTTACTTTGATATTTGTTTTTGAAAACTGTTATTTATTTATCATTCATCATAATTTAATTTGTGAGAAAAACTGTTTCTTCAGGATACATGAACCTGGACGAGATCCTGGATTTGGACAAAGTATACTTCATGAAGGTCAACTTCTGTTCCGTACACCTCCATATGGTTCTCAAGATATTTCTCTACAGGAACCAGTTAATGGATGGGACAACAATGTGGGGAACCCAAGGGGTACTGGAACTGGTGCCCTGAAGGTATGAATCCAATTTGTGAACAGATGTAAGAACATAAAGACAGTTAGTATGAAGGATAATCATAAGGGACAAGAAGACTAGAAGTCTGTATTATACAGTAGTTGAAAGGGATGAAATAAAAAAAATTATAATTCTTGAAATGATGAGTAAGGATACAGTTGGAAAATCAGTACTAAGAAGAGCAGTCTTGCTGCTCATACAGTAATCTTGCTAGTGCAATGTAGTGTTAATCATAGAAATACACTGAAGCAGGGCTGTCCTTAGGGAGGGGTGAGTGGGGCAGCTGTCCCAAGTCCCACACTTCAGGGGACCCTGCTCATCAACTTTACAATGTACAAAATTATTCATGCACAATGATGCCCAAAGTGCCCAAGTAGAAAATAGCTGTTTAATTTAATTATAATCACAAAACAGAGATAAGAATGCAGTGTAATAAATATGCAGCTTAGCCCCAGTAATATTAAACTTATGGGTTACCAGCTTTCTTTTCACATTTGCTTTTCTTTCTTTATTTCTTGTGCACATAGGGATCTTAAGGAGGAGCCTTACATAGATTGCTTACCCTGCGCCCAACACCTCTCTAAGGACATTTCCGCACTAACACCCTCTTAGAAGTCCCAACATGAAACACATTTACATCTGATGGCAAATATGCTTAATGCTTAAGAACATGTGGCAAATTTTTAACATTTTGAATGTTATTGTTATATTATTACATAAGCTTCTGTCATGTACTGTGAGCACAATGTGATGTTTCTATAGTCTTTAAAATTGTTTGCAGTGGACAGTCTTGGATTTCTGGATCATTCTCTTTTACTTATCATGAACACATTGTAATTTTAATTTCCGTATTGGCTTGTAAGCTGGAGGCTTACACGTGATAACTTCTGCCTTGCAGGAAAACTATATAGTGTGCTACTGCACTGGCTTTTTAAAAATTTTCACCATTTGCAGAATTAGTTTTATAAAATTTAGAAATAAAATAAACGACTAACATCATTATTTGTAGAAGCAAGAATTGACATGAATTATATTTTTGATCTAAGAGTTTGTTTACTGAAAAACTGTAGAATGGGGATTTATGTTAATTTTTCCCTATTATGAAGTTTTATTTTAATTATCTTATAGAATAACAACTAAACACAAATTTCAACAGAACAGTGTTACAGTTTGCTCACATGTAATTCTCTTCTTAGAAGAGTTTTGTTGTTTTTTGAAGTTGGGGAATTAATGGATGGATTGTGTATCCAAATGATAATGATGTCTGATAATCTTGTTTCCTGTCTTGGAGGATGACACCACATTGCAATGGACATTGGCATTTTCCAGAATCTATCTGCATCCCCTTTGCTTTGAATCTGGATACAGCCATGTTTTACTAAAGTCAGAAAACCACCCTACTGCAGCATGGTGTTTTCACCCAAGAATGGAAGCAAAATTGGCTACAAACCTGTAGTGATATTTATGTTTGTAATACTGCTTACTGCAGTCTTCTTGAAGGTGATTAAATCATGAATAATACTGAGGGCATTATGCCAGAAGGGTGTATCAGAATAATTGTTGATTTACAGGAGATTCTTATCTGGGTTGACAAATTTGCATTATTAGTGTTCATATACCAATACTATCTCTGTAGAGCAGCATCAACTTCATCATTTCTGGAATGACATACATCCCACCACTTCCTGTTCTTATACCAAATATTTGTCACTGATGCTCTCAGTATTAACTACATTTTATTTAAAAAGTGGATACTTTCAATTTTTAAGACACGGTATGAAACTGCTGATAAAAAATTCATGTCACAGGTGGCTGCAGTAAATGATCCCAACTTAGGTGAGAGTCCTGGAACACTAGCTGGTGAACAGTCACGTTCAGTAGCAGAGACAAACAAGGATAGTAGTTCAAGAATCAGCACAGCAACACCCAGTCCAGTTAGCTGTTACAGTGATAAGAGAGCTCTAGGAAGGAGGTTCTCATATACTTCAGCTAGCAATAGGCAAGTCCTGTAGCTGTCTTCCCTTTGAACCTGGCAACAAAATGTATACTTCCTAGCATAATTCCTTTCTTTTGAAATCCACATTCTTGCAGCTTGCCAATGCATTTGGTTACCATTGTAATTTCCTTGTCATGTTTCTCTTATTTCCACCAACATACCTGTTGATAAGAACATTTATACATGGTGGATTCTCCGTGTGTTTGGAATTCCAATTTTAGCAGTTACAGTTGTACAGTTTCTTTGACACAGTTCTTCCTTTTGTCCCTTTTATTCTATTCACTTATAATTCCATTCAAAGATTCACATCTGGCACTGTGTTTCGCTTTTAAATACATACTTAATGGCCATTCTGTATCATTTGTCTCAAATGTACGAATTAGTGCAGTGAAATACAATGAATCTAACATGTAATACATCTCTAAAAGGTTCAAAATTGCCATCACTACCATGTCTTCTTTTCTCAGTATTCTCTGCTCTCATTAATGTCATGAAGTGTATTTTATCATACTGTATTTATAAATTATTTTAAATTGACAATGTCAGTGCAATAAATACTATACCTACCTCTAAAGTATAAATACTATTAATAAAATAACTTGATACAATTGCTTTTTCATTGCCATCAGTGTAGTATTGTCAGAGCACACCTTCCACGTATTTTGGTCTGAGCACATTCTACATTTCTGCATCTTAATTTTCTTCTGTTGAAGATTATGGCATGAAAGTAGTCTTGCACCCTATGCTTTATAATTTTCATTGTTAAAAGAAGAATAGTTTATCATACCAAGCAAAAATAGTTGTTATTCTTCATCATTTTCTCCTAAAATTGTTTCAGTTTTATACAGGTTAGAAATGATGTATCATCTTGATAATTTTGATCCAACATGCACTGAATACGATTAACATTACTGTATTAGTTTTAAGGAAATGCTAGATTGTAGTGGCTTCATCACAATTTTCTACTCATTTCTGTTTAAATTTTTCATGGTTCTGTTGAGATTGGCAAATTAGTTTTATGTTGAATTTTACAAATTGGATTTTTTAACCTTTTGTACTGATTGTGTTGCAGCTTACTAGATTTGGTAAATTTCTTCGTGCATTTATGATTGAAAGAAATATCTGTCCATGTTGAATGATAGCATTTCGCATGCATCCAACAGAAGTGGAAGCAACACAACACGTGATGTGCCATATGCTCGTCTAATGGACCATAGCCCAACCAACCTTTTACCTCCAAAACTTGATAGTGACTCCATGCTGAATGCAGAGCGAAGCAAGTCCATATTGAGTGTACCTGAGACAGAGGGAGCACCCAAGAGTAGTGTTTCAGACTCAAAGTTGGCTGTTGACTACTTCAACACAGCCACACCTAAAGAGAGCCACCAGCAAGGAGCCACAAATGTAGTACTGGTGTGTGGAACTATTTTTATATTGTTAATGCAACAAATGTGATATTTTATGATGTTCTGAGTTTTGGCACCATGTAGACTCAAGGCAGATGCCAACATTTTGGAGAAACATGCTGTCTCCATCACGTACTGCCAACTTAATAATGTCGAATGTATAGAAATTGTATGGGAATGTAATTTTTCTTGCACTTTTTCAGTGAGGTGCACTGTCATTTACCTTTTAATTATTCCTGTTATATATTGTCATCTGCTGTCTAGTCTTTTCAGTGTTATGAGACATTGAAATTGCAATTAAATAATGTGACTGATATGTTGAAGGATTGATAACTTGGGCTATATTCACTCACCTTCCTTGGCAATTTGTAGTTTAACCAGAATTGTGCATGTTTGTCTTGTTTTTCCTTGTTATCATTATTGAATTAAAATGTACACAGGGAAAAAATTGGGATATATTTTACACTTCTAGGAATAAAAAGGAAATTAATAATTTAAACTTGTAACTGAAATTTTAAGTAGTAAGTGTGTCTGAAAATAGAAGTATGAGCTGACTTTGTCATTCTTTGATTCCTATGTCTGTGCAAATATGGTGTTATGTACAAGTGGAACTGCATTGTAGTAAACACAGGAAGGAAGTTAATTCATTTCATATTTATTGTCTTTTCTTCTATAAGTATATGTGGCAGAATCTTTAATATGGATTGAATTACATTGTATTATAATGCCTTTTTTATTTTATGGTTTTGATTTTATCAACTTTCATACCAGCAGACTTATGTTGTGTGGTATAATGGACTTGGAGGTTAATTTATGTATATTCAAGGGAATGGCAATAGGTCTACAGTTCTTGAGCATGGCTAAAACAGATTAATATGTTGTTTTTTCTGTAATAGCTTTTAAACATACACTACACTGAAAACAAAATCACCTAATTTAAAGTAGGTTTATGGATATATTTTCACAGTAAAATGGCATTTTGCATGTTTTTTTAGATTTCTTTTTGGAACATTAAATTTATATATCTTCTAAAACACTATATTTTTGTAACAGATGATCTTAGCAAATTTTTATGAAGTTGAGACACAGATAGTTTGTTACCTCAGTACATTTAAAATGTTCCTTCAGTATAACATGGCTTCTTTTTTCCAATTTGATGTTTCCCCAAGAACTGACTTGTCTTCTGCAGTTACTTGTGTTGGAGTCTTTGTTAACATACCTCATAAATTACTGAATGCTTTGAAACAAGTGCCAGTAGGATGTCCATACATTTATTTGACTATATTTAATTTGCTTATTGCTAGGTTTCAAAGCCTTCCAGTTCGTCGGCAGTGAATCCATCAGAATCACACCATTCACTATCTGTGGATGCTGCAGAAGAAAATCTTCGTAAGGAAGTACAACGTACAGTGTCAATGAGTAGCGAAAACCATTCTGAGGCTTTCTATTCAGCTGATGAAGATATTAGTCAGCATGTTGGAATGTCAGCCAGTCGTACGTCTTCACTTCGCCATTCCATTACATTGACAAGGCAGGATAGCAGTAGTAGTAACACTACCAATAGGTGAGTCATGTTGTTACATTGGACAGATCATCAGATGCACTCCTTAAGGTAAAATTGCACCTTTGGGCAAATTACATTATTTAGCATGTAATTTCTCAGCTTACGTTTGTTGTGTTATAGCTAGTGTAGTGGTATAATCAAATTACTATAGTGGTGTATGCTTTCATTTGAATAATTTTTGAATGAGATGTGATTTTCTATTGAAGAATAGAATGATTTTTTTATAAATAATTCTCATTATTATTTCGTATGATTTCAATTGTTGCTGAATGAAGTAAACTTTTGCACGTATCTCATTGCTGTTATTTTACAATATTTTGATCAACTTGGCAGCAGAGTTTGTTTTGCATGATTACTGGGAATTATTTTAAGATGATGGTGGCTGTTTTCTGGGATGTTCCATCATGCAATCGGTATATACTTGTCATTGTTTCAGAGGAGTTTATTACTTGTATCATGAGGGTGCCCAGCATTCATTACTTTGGTGTTAAAGGCAGTAAATCTCACCTACTTTTAAGATATTCATATCTACAGATATAAGATTTCCAATGTTATGCAGAGCTTAACAATTTCTTTTGTAGCATACATCATAGCTAGCCATGCCATAGCACAGGTGGTTAGTTGCTGATTTACTGCAGAGGCCTGGGTTTGTGTCAATGTAGTCCATGTAGGATTTGTGGTGGAGGAAGGGGCAGTAGGACAGGATTTTCTCTAGTTCTTTGGTTTTCTTCACCAGTATCATTCTTCCTGTGATACTTCATATTCACTCATATATCATCTAGGGGATGGACAATGGACAAGTTAATGGTCATACGAGGCACGTCCACAAAGTAAGTTTCCCTGGGGCCGTTTACAGAAACAAAACACAATTTCATGGAAATATTTATTACAACAGATACAGCAAGTGTCCAGCTATTTTTCAACATATTCGCCACCGGAATTGAGACATTTGTCATACCGTGGGACCAACTTTTGAATACCTGTGTCGTAGAAGTCTGCCGCCTGGGATTGGAACCACTGTGTGACAACCATCTCCGCCTCTCTGTCATTCTCAAAACGCTGACGCTGACCGGACAGGAATTTCTTGAGGTGTAGGAAAAGATGGAAATCACTGGGAGTGAGGTCCGGGCTGTAGGGTGAATGATTAAACACCTCCCAGTTGAACTCCTGCAGGAGACTTGCTGTCCGTCGAGCCGTGTGCAGCCTAGCGTTATCATTGACTGCACTTCACAGTCGGCGGGAGCTGGAATAAGAACCTCCATCTTCAACAGCTGCAACGATGCTACTGTGAGAACGTGGGAAGTGCTGTTAGTGCATGCGCCATGCTACGTCATTGCTCTATCACGTACGCACAGTCGCTTTGCGCAATATAAGGTTTGCTAGCTGTGGGACGAGTGGGAAACTTACTTTGTGGATGCGCCTCGTAGTTCCACAGAGACACATTCTATTCTAACAGTAAAAGTAGTCATAGTGTGTAAACTGTATTTATTCAAATACCATATGCACGTTTTTTTTAAAGTTTTTTTCATAATAATTAGGCTGAACATTGTGTTTTAGGATTTCATGTGTGTTATGTTCTGTGTTTGGGAATGTATAAGGCATGGCAATTGCTTTGCAACATCTGTCATATGAGCTGCACAGTTAGGCGAAGCTTGGCTGTCAACATTTTCTCGCAACAGGAAATACAGAGTGTAGGTGTGTTGTCAGTCATTTTAAGACAGCACATATGGTATTCTCAGTTACATTAATCCTTCACTTGTAACAGATTTCCAGTGCTGGAAGGATGATTTGGCTTGGCAGACTAATGTGATGAGATCAGTTTAAGTGGCAGTAATAGCAGCAGTCAAGTATATCAGAATTTTAAGTCTAACATTTTGTATTTTATTAATTTTTATGGTATTACAATTTTATCAGTCATCACATGTGCCTTTGTAGATTTTTAGAGTGGAACTAGCCACATTAATATAATTTATCTGTTCTTGATCTTTAATATTATTTTCATTCAAACAATTTTTTCTTAAAAATGCTATAAAAATGGTAACATGCATCTTATTCAGGGGTGTATGGTATTTTGATAAATACAGTATGTAAGAATATTGTTGAAATATCTGTATTTCAAAGCATTTTCTAAAATGTTATAGAAAAATGTTGATTCCCTGACAGAATGGTTGGCTGAAATTTAAATCAGATTAATTTCAACATGGGGCTGAATATTATAAATATATTGAATTGCATTTTGCTCTGTAATATGACAGGGATGGTTTAATGATATGTTACACATTTTGTAATAAATGTTTTTTGGAAGCTGCATTAATAGAATCAAACAAATAATAGCATGTTTTAATATTTGTAATTAATATATTATCAATCAGCATGATGCATGCCCTTTATCCATTGTGTTAAATAGACAGGATAGCTTCAAGAGTAATGCTACAGCTGATGACATTTTCTGCCCAGCCAGTCAAGATGACAACCAGCACGTTTGCATGTCAACCAGTTCTGCCTCTTCACTTGACAATTGCAGTGTATTCAGTGTTGTGGATATCAGTATGAAAACAATTAGGTGAGATGTTCTTTCATAACAATAGCAAACTATTCTGTTTTGAATTATTTTAAATAATCTTTCTGGGATGAAGTCAATGGCGTCAAATGGTTAAGTGAAGAGACAAACTTCACAACAGATTTGCAGAATTAAATGCAAAGATCATGTCCCTGATGTACTTTTTTATCAGCATGGTTCCCTTTTTTTCCCATTATTGACATTATTATAAGAAATATAACATGTAGTTGATTGTGAAAGTATGTCCAATAATTATTTTTGTGCTTCTGTTTTATTTTCTGCTTGGAGTTGATCTAACATGTTTTTATATTCTGCAGAAAGAAGTTCCCAAGTGAATTAAGCATAATACCAGGTGCTGTTCATACATTGCCTTCTGCTGCCCTCATGGCAAGTGCAGCTATATGTTCAGACGGACGGTCCCGTCTCTCTAGTCATCGCAGTGATCATGAGATTCACACCCCAGAACACCGAAATCAGCAACTTTCCCGAAGTCCAGATATGGTAATCTCACATTTTGCATTTTATACAAGATTTTCAGGAACAAAGTATAGAATTGTGTACTTTTTTTTCCATGTTTTCTGTTTAGATGGCTATATGTAATAACTAGCTTTTCCAGTTTAATTTTGAGGACTAATTTGACCACAAATTATGGTAACTATTACCACCACTACATATATATTGACCAGGAGTGGGCAAAATACAGGCAGTGGGTTAGAAGTAACCCACAAAAGAATTTGATTTTCTTGTAATGATGTTCATATTTATATATTATTCTTAATAGATTTCTCTATCAAGTTCTGTTATCTCGTACGTTGTATAGAGAAAGTACTGTAATAAGTGAATCTGATGACAACTCCATATTGAAGCAGGAGTCCAAAGCTTTCCTGTCATAGCATATGCCTTGTTTACATAATGTTTATGTCATACACTGAATATGTAATGCTTAATTTTGTATTGTAGAGTGTGACAGGTGGAGAAGATGACAGAAGAGGTGGGGGAGTTCTAAATATGGCAACTCCACATAGACGATACTGTAATGTAAGTTCTGCCTCTCAGCAGCGATCTACCAGCCCCCGTTATGTGACATACAATAATGGAGACAGTCTCACTGGGTTGCAGGATGTTTCTGAGGGACAGGTTTGTGAAGTTCTATCCGTCTGCGAAGAGAATTTACTCTTCCTTGAAGCCATTATGTCTTGCTAAATGCCATGCCATAGACACTGTCCCATAATAACAACATTGGAACTTTTACAGTAATTTGCGTAAGTTTGGTACAAAGTGGATGTCATTGCCAAAGACATGGCCTTCTTATTTTAAACTTTCCTGTTTCTGAAGTGGCAGTGATTATTTCGTATGTTTTGCTTTTTTACTATTACAAACCACTACATGTTTTCTGTCAGTTAATTTTACTTCTCGTTGAAAAGGTTTTTTTTTTGGGTTGTTGCTCTCTACTAATTGTTATAAGAATACATGAAGTGTTGATAGAAAACTAGTAGAGGACTGAGTGTTGGCCGATGTTGTGTTAGAATGGTTCTGTGAATGTGTGATAGGCACTTAGGCTTCATGGTCAAGTCAGTTGTCTACTTGGACAGCTGGTAAAGTGGTACAGTATAAAGATTTTCATTTTTAAACACAACCCTTTGATGTAACTTACAACATAAATTTTTGCAACAAAGTATGGTGTGTGTCTGATTATGATTCATCTGGTTGTCTTTTGGATTTAAAAGTTGTGCTTGCCTCTCCTTTAACTCACATCAGAGAGGTATATACAGCACCAGAATCTGACATCTTTGTACTGCAGTTAAAACCTCTAGTTCTGAATCATAGTCAACAGTTAACCTCAATTTTCCCAGTATGAAAAACAGCTGGAATTATTTCGTTATCTATTTATTTAATTGTTTTGCATAGCAAAGGGATGACAATTTGTAACTTTTACCAACATTTTCTTTTTTCCATAAGCTGGAGAAACTACCATGCCAAGACATGAATAGTTGTGACCTGAACATAGAAGGGTGAAAAAGCTGTATTTTTAATGTACTGCAAAAACCACAGCAAGGGGTAGTGGGCAAGCTATTTAGTAAGAAATCTCACTGCAAAAGGGTTGATGAACTTGAACTTTTGAAGTTCCATTTAGTGTTAGGCATAAACCAATGGACATCAGTAATGTGCCTGGCTGTGGCTAGACAACTAGATTTGATTTCCAGAAGGGGCAGGGATTTTTATCTCTGGCACTATATACCATGTCTGCCTTTAGGGTCCCACCGAGCCTCCTATTCAGTTAGTCTCGGGTGACTTTCCCAAGGAGTAAAGTGACCAAAATGCAAAACTGACTGCTCACCTCAATCTAATGTTAAGATCTATAATGTTGGAAGTTTACATATATTACCCTATATGCTTCCATGATATGGTTTTCTTAGTCACAGGAGCAACTCTTCCTTTACCTGTGAGTGTCAGACTTAACTTCAGATATGAGACTTCATATAGATATATTTCTTTACTTAAGAAGACTAGGATTTGAAATATTTATCAGAACACAGTCACAAACTTAAACAGTGACTGTTCTTCAAGATGGACATTCTACCTAAGTAGAAGGTACTGTGTGGTTGGGAACATTACAGAGTCAAGATGGAGTACTCCTGGATTCATCTGACACACACTCTGTATCCAGTACATCTTTTATCTCAGCAGTCTCATCACAGGAGGACATGGCATTGGTTAACCTGCACATGCAAGTTAACAAACCCATCATAGACTCTCCATTACTCATGACCAGCTATGTAAATCACCTTTCACAGGTAAATATTAAGGGTAATAAAAAATCAGGGAATTCTGTAATTGATTAAAAATATAATACTGAAGGAAGACTCTGTACCATGGTGCTGGCTCAGTTTACTTAGTATGTTATTTTATTGCTGATATATTGGCCTTGGTTATGCTCTGAAGTAATGTGAAACAAGTAAAGGGGAAGTCAGAGGCCAGAAATATTGCTTGTATTTTCATATTGCTTCCTGTCATTGTTCAGTTTTCTTTATCTCATAGCTAATGTTGAAAATGCTTTTTACTTTTATTCTGACTGGTGCTGTATCATCCTTTTCTATTGAAATATGAATTCTGATTCTTTTAGGCAAGTTGTAACAATTGGTCACAGTCGTCACTTCCTGCAGGCTGTGATGCTTTCACGGTCCCACTTTTCCAACGTACTGAGGAAGGTAGACTCATATACATTGGTATGTATTGTTTGACTGATGTAAATGGAAATTATATAGATACAATGAAATCTTGTTTGACGTAACATATATTGTGTTACAGTAATCTCTCTCAGACCACAAGTGTCAAATATGCATAGGTTTCCATTTTGCATCCAGTTTTACCAATCAGATACAAATACTAGCATACTTATTTTATGTATTTATTTGAGTTGTGATTTTGTTTGCAGTATTTACTTGGGGATGCTTATGATATTCACATTCAGTATACAAATTTAAGACTTGTGATCAAAGATAAGCTGTAACTGTTTCAATGTAAATTAAAAACTTGTGTCAAATTTAAGTCTTCTTTAATTTTAGGTGGTAGATACAGTCCTAGATTTGAAACATTGACAGAAGGCTTAACATCTTTGAAGATGATATCAAGGGTCATTGGTGAACATCATGGAACACCTCCACCACCAAGTAAAACTCCCACTCATCCTTATTCCTGGGATGCCTCAGCTTTTTTGGGTTCTGAATCAGATGACCTGGAGACAGGTAAAAGTGCTTACAAGAATAATTTCAGATATTCACAGAATGTAGTGCCAGATATGTCCTATGAAAATGAACATAAATGAGAGTGTTAATTCAGTGGGATAATTATTTTGGACATGTCCACTGTTATAAGTTTTTTTTTCAAAACTTAACATTACGGAAACTGGATATTTTTCCATCATCAGGGACCTTGCGACCCAAGGATTGAGACTGGCTATATCCAAGGGATCCAACTGAGAATGAATTGTCTTCCCATGCTCCCTGATGGCAGAAATAATTCCATTTTCTGAAACATTGTATTTGGAAAACTTAGTACAATGTCCAAGTAATTATTTTATGATGACACACCATCGTTAAAACATTTAGACTTGGCAAGAAAGTTGCTGCAATGGAAATTAGTCAGTCATACTGTTCTGCATATAATGTAATGTAAGTGCAGAACATAAGAGTTCCTGTGGACATATGCCAGTATAATTCCATGACCACTTCCTTCCATAGGTTTTTCAGTTAATTACTCATTAATAATTTGATGATTTGACAGTGTGTAGTCTGAGCTGCTGACATCAGTATTAAATAGGGCACAAATAATCATTGCTCTATCACGTACGCACAGTCGCTTCGCGCAATCTAAGGTTTGCTAGCTGTGGGACGAGTGGGAAACTTACTTTGTGGATGCGCCTCGTAGTTCCACAGAGACACATTCTATTCTAACAGTAAAAGTAGTCATAGTGTGTAAACTGTATTTATTCAAATACCATATGCACGTTTTTTTTAAAGTTTTTTTCATAATAATTAGGCTGAACATTGTGTTTTAGGATTTCATGTGTGTTATGTTCTGTGTTTGGGAATGTATAAGGCATGGCAATTGCTTTGCAACATCTGTCATATGAGCTGCACAGTTAGGCGAAGCTTGGCTGTCAACATTTTCTCGCAACAGGAAATACAGAGTGTAGGTGTGTTGTCAGTCATTTTAAGACAGCACATATGGTATTCTCAGTTACATTAATCCTTCACTTGTAACAGATTTCCAGTGCTGGAAGGATGATTTGGCTTAGCAGACTAATGTGATGAGATCAGTTTAAGTGGCAGTAATAGCAGCAGTCAAGTATATCAGAATTTTAAGTCTAACATTTTGTATTTTATTAATTTTTATGGTATTACAATTTTATCAGTCATCACATGTGCCTTTGTAGATTTTTAGAGTGGAACTAGCCACATTAATATAATTTATCTGTTCTTGATCTTTAATATTATTTTCATTCAAACAATTTTTTCTTAAAAATGCTATAAAAATGGTAACATGCATCTTATTCAGGGGTGTATGGTATTTTGATAAATACAGTATGTAAGAATATTGTTGAAATATCTGTATTTCAAAGCATTTTCTAAAATGTTATAGAAAAATGTTGATTCCCTGACAGAATGGTTGGCTGAAATTTAAATCAGATTAATTTCAACATGGGGCTGAACATTATAAATATATTGAATTGCATTTTGCTCTGTAATATGACAGGGATGGTTTAATGATATGTTACACATTTTGTAATAAATGTTTTTTGGAAGCTGCATTAATAGAATCAAACAAATAATAGCATGTTTTAATATTTGTAATTAATATATTATCAATCAGCATGATGCATGCCCTTTATCCATTGTGTTAAATAGACAGGATAGCTTCAAGAGTAATGCTACAGCTGATGACATTTTCTGCCCAGCCAGTCAAGATGACAACCAGCACGTTTGCATGTCAACCAGTTCTGCCTCTTCACTTGACAATTGCAGTGTATTCAGTGTTGTGGATATCAGTATGAAAACAATTAGGTGAGATGTTCTTTCATAACAATAGCAAACTATTCTGTTTTGAATTATTTTAAATAATCTTTCTGGGATGAAGTCAATGGCGTCAAATGGTTAAGTGAAGAGACAAACTTCACAACAGATTTGCAGAATTAAATGCAAAGATCATGTCCCTGATGTACTTTTTTATCAGCATGGTTCCCTTTTTTTCCCATTATTGACATTATTATAAGAAATATAACATGTAGTTGATTGTGAAAGTATGTCCAATAATTATTTTTGTGCTTCTGTTTTATTTTCTGCTTGGAGTTGATCTAACATGTTTTTATATTCTGCAGAAAGAAGTTCCCAAGTGAATTAAGCATAATACCAGGTGCTGTTCATACATTGCCTTCTGCTGCCCTCATGGCAAGTGCAGCTATATGTTCAGACGGACGGTCCCGTCTCTCTAGTCATCGCAGTGATCATGAGATTCACACCCCAGAACACCGAAATCAGCAACTTTCCCGAAGTCCAGATATGGTAATCTCACATTTTGCATTTTATACAAGATTTTCAGGAACAAAGTATAGAATTGTGTACTTTTTTTTCCATGTTTTCTGTTTAGATGGCTATATGTAATAACTAGCTTTTCCAGTTTAATTTTGAGGACTAATTTGACCACAAATTATGGTAACTATTACCACCACTACATATATATTGACCAGGAGTGGGCAAAATACAGGCAGTGGGTTAGAAGTAACCCACAAAAGAATTTGATTTTCTTGTAATGATGTTCATATTTATATATTATTCTTAATAGATTTCTCTATCAAGTTCTGTTATCTCGTACGTTGTATAGAGAAAGTACTGTAATAAGTGAATCTGATGACAACTCCATATTGAAGCAGGAGTCCAAAGCTTTCCTGTCATAGCATATGCCTTGTTTACATAATGTTTATGTCATACACTGAATATGTAATGCTTAATTTTGTATTGTAGAGTGTGACAGGTGGAGAAGATGACAGAAGAGGTGGGGGAGTTCTAAATATGGCAACTCCACATAGACGATACTGTAATGTAAGTTCTGCCTCTCAGCAGCGATCTACCAGCCCCCGTTATGTGACATACAATAATGGAGACAGTCTCACTGGGTTGCAGGATGTTTCTGAGGGACAGGTTTGTGAAGTTCTATCCGTCTGCGAAGAGAATTTACTCTTCCTTGAAGCCATTATGTCTTGCTAAATGCCATGCCATAGACACTGTCCCATAATAACAACATTGGAACTTTTACAGTAATTTGCGTAAGTTTGGTACAAAGTGGATGTCATTGCCAAAGACATGGCCTTCTTATTTTAAACTTTCCTGTTTCTGAAGTGGCAGTGATTATTTCGTATGTTTTGCTTTTTTACTATTACAAACCACTACATGTTTTCTGTCAGTTAATTTTACTTCTCGTTGAAAAGGTTTTTTTTTTGGGTTGTTGCTCTCTACTAATTGTTATAAGAATACATGAAGTGTTGATAGAAAACTAGTAGAGGACTGAGTGTTGGCCGATGTTGTGTTAGAATGGTTCTGTGAATGTGTGATAGGCACTTAGGCTTCATGGTCAAGTCAGTTGTCTACTTGGACAGCTGGTAAAGTGGTACAGTATAAAGATTTTCATTTTTAAACACAACCCTTTGATGTAACTTACAACATAAATTTTTGCAACAAAGTATGGTGTGTGTCTGATTATGATTCATCTGGTTGTCTTTTGGATTTAAAAGTTGTGCTTGCCTCTCCTTTAACTCACATCAGAGAGGTATATACAGCACCAGAATCTGACATCTTTGTACTGCAGTTAAAACCTCTAGTTCTGAATCATAGTCAACAGTTAACCTCAATTTTCCCAGTATGAAAAACAGCTGGAATTATTTCGTTATCTATTTATTTAATTGTTTTGCATAGCAAAGGGATGACAATTTGTAACTTTTACCAACATTTTCTTTTTTCCATAAGCTGGAGAAACTACCATGCCAAGACATGAATAGTTGTGACCTGAACATAGAAGGGTGAAAAAGCTGTATTTTTAATGTACTGCAAAAACCACAGCAAGGGGTAGTGGGCAAGCTATTTAGTAAGAAATCTCACTGCAAAAGGGTTGATGAACTTGAACTTTTGAAGTTCCATTTAGTGTTAGGCATAAACCAATGGACATCAGTAATGTGCCTGGCTGTGGCTAGACAACTAGATTTGATTTCCAGAAGGGGCAGGGATTTTTATCTCTGCCACTATATACCATGTCTGCCTTTAAGGTCCCACCGAGCCTCCTATTCAGTTAGTCTCGGGTGACTTTCCCAAGGAGTAAAGTGACCAAAATGCAAAACTGACTGCTCACCTCAATCTAATGTTAAGATCTATAATGTTGGAAGTTTACATATATTACCCTATATGCTTCCATGATATGGTTTTCTTAGTCACAGGGGCAACTCTTCCTTTACCTGTGAGTGTCAGACTTAACTTCAGATATGAGACTTCATATAGATATATTTCTTTACTTAAGAAGACTAGGATTTGAAATATTTATCAGAACACAGTCACAAACTTAAACAGTGACTGTTCTTCAAGATGGACATTCTACCTAAGTAGAAGGTACTGTGTGGTTGGGAACATTACAGAGTCAAGATGGAGTACTCCTGGATTCATCTGACACACACTCTGTATCCAGTACATCTTTTATCTCAGCAGTCTCATCACAGGAGGACATGGCATTGGTTAACCTGCACATGCAAGTTAACAAACCCATCATAGACTCTCCATTACTCATGACCAGCTATGTAAATCACCTTTCACAGGTAAATATTAAGGGTAATAAAAAATCAGGGAATTCTGTAATTGATTAAAAATATAATACTGAAGGAAGACTCTGTACCATGGTGCTGGCTCAGTTTACTTAGTATGTTATTTTATTGCTGATATATTGGCCTTGGTTATGCTCTGAAGTAATGTGAAACAAGTAAAGGGGAAGTCAGAGGCCAGAAATATTGCTTGTATTTTCATATTGCTTCCTGTCATTGTTCAGTTTTCTTTATCTCATAGCTAATGTTGAAAATGCTTTTTACTTTTATTCTGACTGGTGCTGTATCATCCTTTTCTATTGAAATACAAATTCTGATTCTTTTAGGCGAGTTGTAACAATTGGGTGCTGTATCATCCTTTTCTATTGAAATATGAATTCTGATTCTTTTAGGCAAGTTGTAACAATTGGTCACAGTCGTCACTTCCTGCAGGCTGTGATGCTTTCACGGTCCCACTTTTCCAACGTACTGAGGAAGGTAGACTCATATACATTGGTATGTATTGTTTGACTGATGTAAATGGAAATTATATAGATACAATGAAATCTTGTTTGAAGTAACATATATTGTGTTACAGTAATCTCTCTCAGACCACAAGTGTCAAATATGCATAGGTTTCCATTTTGCATCCAGTTTTACCAATCAGATACAAATACTAGCATACTTATTTTATGTATTTATTTGAGTTGTGATTTTGTTTGCAGTATTTACTTGGGGATGCTTATGATATTCACATTCAGTATACAAATTTAAGACTTGTGATCAAAGATAAGCTGTAACTGTTTCAATGTAAATTAAAAACTTGTGTCAAATTTAAGTCTTCTTTAATTTTAGGTGGTAGATACAGTCCTAGATTTGAAACATTGACAGAAGGCTTAACATCTTTGAAGATGATATCAAGGGTCATTGGTGAACATCATGGAACACCTCCACCACCAAGTAAAACTCCCACTCATCCTTATTCCTGGGATGCCTCAGCTTTTTTGGGTTCTGAATCAGATGACCTGGAGACAGGTAAAAGTGCTTACAAGAATAATTTCAGATATTCACAGAATATAGTGCCAGATATGTCCTATGAAAATGAACATAAATGAGAGTGTTAATTCAGTGGGATAATTATTTTGGACATGTCCACTGTTATAAGTTTTTTTTTCAAAACTTAACATTACGGAAACTGGATATTTTTCCATCATCAGGGACCTTGCGACCCAAGGATTGAGACTGGCTATATCCAAGGGATCCAACTGAGAATGAATTGTCTTCCCATGCTCCCTGATGGCAGAAATAATTCCATTTTCTGAAACATTGTATTTGGAAAACTTAGTACAATGTCCAAGTAATTATTTTATGATGACACACCATCGTTAAAACATTTAGACTTGGCAAGAAAGTTGCTGCAATGGAAATTAGTCAGTCATACTGTTCTGCATATAATGTAATGTAAGTGCAGAACATAAGAGTTCCTGTGGACATATGCCAGTATAATTCCATGACCACTTCCTTCCATAGGTTTTTCAGTTAATTACTCATTAATAATTTGATGATTTGACAGTGTGTAGTCTGAGCTACTGACATCAGTATTAAATAGGTCACAAATAAAACAAATTATGTTTCTGAAGTACGCTATGACCCCTAAATAATTATGCAATTCATAACCCCTTACATATCACATGCTTAGTTACAGTCATTCATTGAGGCACTCTTTTGTTCATTTTTAATTTTCTGTTTTTCACCATCTGTACCATTATGTTACTGAAGGATGGCTATGTAATATGGCTATCACAGGAAATTGTTTTGTAATAATGAATTTGTTATTAATAATCTTTAACATATTCTTACAAATTCATTGAAAATGTTATAATAGCATTTAGTTGTTTTCTGAAATACCATTCTCACTGTTGTTATCGGTATTCTGAAAACAACATGACAATACACAAAAGTTTATAAATTCAATAATTGTAATATACCATTGATAAAACTCTATAAATTTCCTAAGAAAAACCATCAGTGATACCTTTCCACTTATGTTCTGTCAACTCAGAATGATAAATCTAACAATTTTGGACATTACAATGTTAATTATAATTTGAATATGAAGATTTGTTTGTTTTATTTGTGGTTGTCTAGGATGTGAAGAGGAACTTCTGGCACTTCAGAATGAATATGGCTCAAGAACTACAGTGATATTAAAACTTAAAGGAGATGTGGACATAATGTTGAGTCCGCTTGTCCTAGAATCACTGCAGAGGTATGTGGAATAAGTCAAGAATTGTCTGTAACAGTCTGTAGGTGAAGGATTTTATAAGAAAGGAATTTATTAATTTATTTAGTAAGTTTCTAAAAGCCTTTGAGATTTTTCATTTATACTGATAAGTATGGCTAGCTTTTGTTTTTGTTGAACTTAAAAAAGGGGGGATACACATATTGTTCAGAAATAGTTAAAAATGAAGAAATTTTACACTGAATACATTTTCGTTAATGTTCTTTAATGATTCCAGATTTATTGATGCTATAACCCCGACTTTAGCCAGTTTGCATCCCTTGACTGTACTAAATCATCTCCATGCTGAATGCATCTCTCAAGTTGAGGCTGCTAACATCCTGAAGCGTGACCAGTCACTGTCATATTTAAGTCAGTTCCAAGCCAGTAGCAAACGAAGTACAGCTGAGCGAAATTTGAGTTCCCCTACTGGCCAAGGAGCATTGCAAGCCAATGTATATGAAGAGTCTGTTTCCACACAGATTCAGGGAACAGTTATGCTTCCAAAGGTATGTGCTGGAAGGAAACAAGTAGTCTAAGTCAGTGGTATTCAACCTTTTTTGTTCGCGTACCCCCAGATATAATCTCTCTTCAACTTTGTACCCCCAAAGTTGTTGGTGTATAATTCAAGTTATGCATAGTAAAAGTTACATTACTGATTATTCAGTGTTTATCATAAAATAATTTTTTTTTAAATTTTACCTACCTCCTAAGATGTCTTGGCGTACCCCCGGGGGTACGCGTACCCCAGGTTTAATACCACTGGTTTAACCTTTGGATGCGGATGTCCGTATATATTCGTAACGTTCGAAGGCATTTAATTTCATGCAGAATAGGTATTGTATATTATTTTATGTTACGGTAAATTAACTGGAGCCAGCATGTAAAAATGTTGTCTTCATACCATACTTTCTCTGTCTGGCTTTCTGTTTTGCACAACAAAACTTACCATTTTTTCTTTCTTTTCCACTTATTCTGTGTGTCACACTCAGAATGAATCCATTTTCAGTAATTTGAGCTGTGGAGGCCACTGCTCATTTGTCACAGAAATCTGTGTTTGTACCATGTATCATACTTCAAGTCAGAACGAGAGTCGTTCACAGACGCCATTTTAACAGTTCACTACAGCTCCGCCATTGGTTGGAATCATTTGAAACTCCGTACACGAACGCGAGAAACATCAAATCTCAAGCATGTAAAAGTACACTTTTCTATCTTCATTATTGGCTGAGAAAAAAAATGTGGGGCATTATTTAATGAGCGACCCTCGTATAATCCAATAGCTTTGGCATGGCTTTGAAAACAGAACTGATATACTGTATGTGGGTATGGTGGTTTACTAATGAAAATGTAATGATTAATGCATTTTTAAATATATTGACTTTGGTATGATACTCATAGGTACACAAGTTTCAAGATATGCTACACAGCCAGGTTTTTCTTGCCCAGAAATTGTTTAGTCACATTTGTTATTTACATTTATTTATTTTCAAATGTAAAATACTTCTGTTTCGTAAGTAAAAGTAAAGCAACCTAATTTTATAGTTGGGTAAATATTGTGCATAAGTTTATTGTAATTTGCTCATATTTGCATTCTTTTTTCTTTCTTACAGGTGAACATAACATTGCTCCAGGCATCAGTTGTGGAAGAGATGATATCTTTTTCAGCATTAGACAATATTAGAGATTTGACTTGTGTTTCGCTGTTTGCTGTGTGTTTTGGTGGAGTCACAGCAAGGTTTCACTGCTCTAAACAAGTATGTACCTTGTAATTTAGTGTCAGATTTATTAAACAAATTTATATGTGGTCCATATTATGCAGTAAATAACATTTCTGAATCTACAGCTATGAATCCATTGTTAGAAATGTTTATAAGTTAATAAGAGCTGTTGTTTGCTTTTAAGGCTCGTGAAGTTGTTCAGACATTCCATCACCCTGCTGTCCTTCCTAGTGGACATAAGAAGTCTAGTGGAAGTGGCAAGATGGGTAAACCCTTCCTCCTTGGACATCAGGCTACTCCAGGAACCACAGATATGCTAGGTGGAGAACCAGTTTACATAGAAACATCAGAGAAACAGCAAGAAGAAATGGTCTTCACTCTTAATATAAGTGAGTTATCATATATGCTTTTCACTTAGTTCACTTTCTATTAAGTAACTAACTAGGTATCATATATGCTTTTCACTTAGTTCACGTTCTATTAAGCAAGTAACTAGAGCTAGCTGGCTGACAAACTGACTGACCGACTAACTAACCAGCAGTCTAGTAGTTGAACTCAGGATTCAGCAATACCAATGCCTGACGCTGGAGGTGATCCTGAGCCATTTCCATCTGAATCTCATCCTCATACTTTTATTCCCCTTTAAAATTTAGCTTAATTTTATTTTTCCATATTTTTTTGGAGTCACAAAATTCTGTATGTATTTCTTGTCTCCCTGAAACAAGCTACATGCTAAGGCCATCCTAACCTCCAAGATTTTATTCCCTAACAATATTAGATAAAATTGATAATGTTTCTTGTTATGTAATATCCTGTCTTACCTATTTCCTTCTTTCCTACATGTTTCATTATTTTCTGGAGCTGTTTTTTTTAACTCTGTAGTATATGGTCTGCTCAAACAATGAGACTGTATGTAAAACAATATGAAACAAATGGCAACATTATTGTTTTATATATATTAATTGTTATTGTTTTGGAAAATAAGATGATCAGTCTTTGGACTGCTTAATAATAAGCATTTCCAGAATTTGTTTTTCTTGTAATTTCATCATGAACATTTTTGTTATGTAACACACTTTCTGATATTACAATGCAGCATTCATTCAGTGGAGACAGGTCTGCTCTTATTGGAATGACAGAACTGAATTTGTGCAAATTTAACAGTTTTCTAGGAGTATGGTTGTGAGCTGTGGGGCAGAAGCTAGAATTAAGTCCATCCAGATCCATTGTGGATTATTCTGCTGCCCACCTTCAGTCAACACTTGTGATAGAGTAAATGCAGAAATATCACACCCTACCATGTGAATACACAATGGGTAGGGTTATCTATCTGTCCATTTCTGAAACTACTAGTCAGTTTTAGATGAGACTTTGTATTGGGAGAGGGCACCTAAAATCTTTGATTGGTTTTGATGTTGGCTAGTATCAATCAAGTATATGGGCAACCCACAAAAAGTGGAAATGTCTTAAGAAGATGATGACTCCAAAAAATTGATACTTTGCATGTGCTGAAATTTATGATTTTTCTTACAGATAGCTCATACAAAGAATTGGTACATCACATAAAATTTGCATCTCATTAAGATCTAATACTTTTGTTTCAAAGATTTCTCAATATGCTGTATATTCAGTGATGTAACTAATTAATGCTGTGTACTGTGTGTTATCTGTAGTGTAATTAGCTTTGGAATAATGGAATTATGGCTACAATAAATGAACATGAATATTTATGAAGTATGCATACTATCAAAGTATATTTAGAAAATTTGTTTACTCTTATTTGTAATTCACCATTTTGTCTTCTTTCTGTGAATGTTTCCTGTCATTCATGGATCAGTAATAGACATTAAGATTCAAGTGTAATAAATTCATGCATTGATTTTGGTGTGAACAGGATACATAGTTGTAACAAAAATGTACTGCTTATTCTGTTAAAACAGGCAAAATCCATGCACAGTTACGTCGCTTGAGAAACGAGAGTTCAATTCTGAAGGATGCTGTGATCACTGCCATACCAAGCCATTATTCACGTGTGTTTTTCACTTGTGTTAGAGTTGCTTCTCCTATGAGAGGAGTTGACTTCTGTGCACAAATGCAGCAACAACAGAGTCAGTCTCAGTCTGCAGACAATGGGGTGAGTTATTACTGAATTTTTTCTGGAACAATATGCTGAAATCTTTCTTGAAACAGTGAAATGTCTAATTGAAACCTACAGCATGAGCTGACTGCAGGCTTTATGCATGATTTTATGGTACAGTACAGTGCAGCCTTAATATAATGAGAATTTATAATATTCAGAAGAATGCTCATTTCAACAGGTTAAAGTTTATCTCCAAACTTCTAATTACGTTCACTATACCACAATATGGCCCTAAGATTAAAAAGTAGTAGTTGTTGTTGTTGTTAGGACTACTTTTATGGAGTTATGAAACTATTGAAGAACAATTCAGTGTTTGAAGATGGCTCTCTTCTGGATTGTTGTATGGTAGAAGTATACCAGACTGCATGGCACTGCAACCCAGGTGACAGCCTAATAATAAGCATTTCCAGAATTTGTTTTTCTTGTAATTTCATCATGAACATTTTTGTTATGTAACACACTTTCTGATATTACAATGCAGCATTCATTCAGTGGAGACAGGTCTGCTCTTATTGGAATGACAGAACTGAATTTGTGCAAATTTAACAGTTTTCTAGGAGTATGGTTGTGAGCTGTGGGGCAGAAGCTAGAATTAAGTCCATCCAGATCCATTGTGGATTATTCTGCTGCCCACCTTCAGTCAACACTTGTGATAGAGTAAATGCAGAAATATCACACCCTACCATGTGAATACACAATGGGTAGGGTTATCTATCTGTCCATTTCTGAAACTACTAGTCAGTTTTAGATGAGACTTTGTATTGGGAGAGGGCACCTAAAATCTTTGACTGGTTTTGATGTTGGCTAGTATCAATCAAGTATATGGGCAACCCACAAAAAGTGGAAATGTCTTAAGAAGATGATGACTCCAAAAAATTGATACTTTGCATGTGCTGAAATTTATGATCTTTCTTACAGATAGCTCATACAAAGAATTGGTACATCACATAAAATTTGCATCTCATTAAGATCTAATACTTTTGTTTCAAAGATTTCTCAATATGCTGTATATTCAGTGATGTAACTAATTAATGCTGTGTACTGTGTGTTATCTGTAGTGTAATTAGCTTTGGAATAATGGAATTATGGCTACAATAAATGAACATGAATATTTATGGAGTATGCATACTATCAAAGTATATTTAGAAAATTTGTTTACTCTTATTTGTAATTCACTATTTTGTCTTCTTTCTGTGAATGTTTCCTGTCATTCATGGATCAGTAATAGACATTAAGATTCAAGTGTAATAAATTCATGCATTGATTTTGGTGTGAACAGGATACATAGTTGTAACAAAAATGTACTGCTTATTCTGTTAAAACAGGCAAAATCCATGCACAGTTACGTCGCTTGAGAAACGAGAGTTCAATTCTGAAGGATGCTGTGATCACTGCCATACCAAGCCATTATTCACGTGTGTTTTTCACTTGTGTTAGAGTTGCTTCTCCTATGAGAGGAGTTGACTTCTGTGCACAAATGCAGCAACAACAGAGTCAGTCTCAGTCTGCAGACAATGGGGTGAGTTATTACTGAATTTTTTCTGGAACAATATGCTGAAATCTTTCTTGAAACAGTGAAATGTCTAATTGAAACCTACAGCATGAGCTGACTGCAGGCTTTATGCATGATTTTATGGTACAGTACAGTGCAGCCTTAATATAATGAGAATTTATAATATTCAGAACAATGCTCATTTCAACAGGTTAAAGTTTATCTCCAAACTTCTAATTACGTTCACTATACCACAATATGGCCCTAAGATTAAAAAGTAGTTGTTGTTGTTGTTAGGACTACTTTTATGGAGTTATGAAACTATTGAAGAACAATTCAGTGTTTGAAGATGGCTCTCTTCTGGATTGTTGTCTGGTAGAAGTATACCAGACTGCATGGCACTGCAACCCAGGTGACAGCCATCTTTGAACTCACCACCGTGAAAACCTCAGATCCTACTAATTCTACATTTGTAATGTCTTTGGCATTATCTGAACTGAGAAGTTAAAGATTTCTTTACTCTTACATAACCTCTTTTGCTGAAAACCAACTGCATATTAGGATTTGTCCTTTAAAAAACAATGTCCTGCCCACTGTTTGCTTTGTGCCTATAAGTGTTGCCCACATTGCATCCATAATTCATTGCACATGGGAACATGTGAAAGAATAAACATGTCTGCCTGCAACATACTTACGTGACAGACAAAATGCATGAAGAAATTGAAGTCAAACTGACTTTTACATACATATGTTTTGTTGTGGCTGGTTCAGAATGCCATGATTGGAATACATTTTCTTTACCATCTAAAAGTAAAATAATAAAAAGTAAGCATAACTAATAAATTAATCAACTTTTCACCTTACACAACTATCATGTCAATTATTTTGTCACTGTAAGGATGTGTCTTTGATATTTCTCATAACTAAAGTGTAATAATTATGTAATGAGGCTCTGTTGCATAAATTTCTTTCAGGTACGCCATGTTGGAAACCCTCACAACAGTGATGATTCTACTAACGCTGTTGATGAGAAGCTTGGATTTATAATGTTTGAATGTGGACTTGAGGGTGTTTTGCTCAAAGTTGTCAAAAGGTCTCAGTTTGAAAAGGGAGAAAATGGCAGTGATGAAGAGATAGAAAAGCCTGAGGCAGAAGCCAGTCATACTGATACAGTGAGGTCACGAGATGAATTGGAGCAACAACCAATGGCCAATACCACTTCAGGTTAGTGTCTTGTTAGATATTTGTGTATTTGCATCTTTACTTACATAATCCCGTAACTATATCTATTAATATTTTATTTTTTCAGTGGGCTGTTACCGTAATAGTATTTAAATACCTTCTTTATTAAATGGTGTTTCCTAATTCAAGTATTTTCCATCCTCATATTGTACCATATTTACACAAATCTAAGGTGACTTCAAAAATGCATACTCACGTTATAGGTTCCAGTCAGGTGGAGAACAGTGTAGTCTCATCTGCTGCAATGAAAACTACTGCTGAGAGTGCAGGCGTTGGTATAGGTACTGCTGAGGTCAGCACTGAGCCAGGTACTGGCCCTGCAAACATCAACATTGCGACTGCTACAGGAAACCAGGCAACTGAAAATGGGCGTGGTAATACCTCGTCTTGCATCATTGAGCTACGCACAGTATGGTTTAATTTTGCAGCTCCACCACGTGCACCAATCACCAGGAAAATTGATTTCACTAGGTAAGTATAATTATTTATCTTTCAAAATAGGAAGTAGAGTTTAATTAATGTGGTGGTAGCTAATGGCAGTTTTACATGTTTTTTAAGTATTGGTATTAACTCCAGTTATGCTTTTATGAAATTCACATTGTTTGTGGTAGTGCCTAACAACAAGTAGCATAATTCTTATGCATGACAAAGGGCATAATAATTCTGTGATGTCCAGGAATTAACAGTACATCTGAGGTCCATGTGTGTCAGTTGGGGAAAGGTGAAGAACTGTTACTGGGTTTGGGATTTACAGGGCAGGCATTCATTGGTATTGGCCATTATGAAGAGATAGAAAATAGTGTCATGTTTGTGCTGGGGAATTATACAAATCAAATTTGGTCAAGTAATACAGTTATTTTCTTTAAAACTTTTACTATGAAGGTGTGCAAGTTATCTTATATTCATGGTCTTCTTATCTTCTTCTTCCATGGCTCTCCGGTCCGTATTCGGTCCATGGCCTCCTCAATTCTCCTCTTCCATTCGGTCCTTCTGTTAGGTCTGTCTGTCCGAGGTTGAGGTTTCAAAACATCTTCCTTTTTACGGTGCAAGGTTGTTAGCCTTGCGACCAACCCCCAACCTGGAGGACCAGGGTACCTGTCTTAGTCTGACCTCTCCCCCTCGACCAATCTGGCTTGGGAGGCCCTACCAGTAGCTATGCTACCGCCAGCATAGCTCATGGGATCACTGAGGTACTCAAGCCCGACCACCATGACAAGGTGCAGGTACCATTAAGTGGGGATGGTCTTCTTATAGTCAGATAAATATGATGTAAGGAAAATATGAATATTCCAGCCATCTGGGCTTTAATCTGATTGACTTTTAGGTATATAATTATGCTGTTTCAACTGCACAGGTTTTATAGCATTGAAAACTTCAGTATTGGAAGTAATGTTTATTGATACTTTTTATTATTTTATCATTTAATTTAGGTTGGATTGGAACTTGCTGAGTACAGCATCCCCTGCAATTAACGCGTGGATGAATCCTAGTAACAGGTTTGCAATTCGAGTGGTTCACATGGTCCGAAGTACGTATAGACGATCAACAGGCATTGTTGCTTGTCTCATGGCTGAGGCTTTAGATGTCCAGGGGATTCATATCCCCATGAAGGTAATTATTTTATCTTGTCACAGATATCATTTCTATCATCTCAATCACATGATCATTGTCTTTATTCTTCAAAGTATTGGGTCTGGATGGTCAATTTTTTTCTTTTTTTATGTTGTCTGAAGTGTTTTCTTCTGTTGTTATTTTATAATTTTTGGAGGATTCTATCAGAGATCATTGTTTCAAAATTATTTACTTTTTGTTGCAACTTATTGGCTAGCAGCTAGAAGTGATTTGAATTGATATGTTAACACTTGTAAGGAAGGGTTTATGGTATGACATTTTTAATTATATCATAGCCTCTTATAAAATATGAGTCCATCACTTTACTCCCAGAAGCAAACTTTACACTATGAGTGGAGACACAGAAATTCACTTTCACTAAAATTGTCAAGACTGTGACAGTTTGGAATGCTAAAGATGTTACTTGTTTGCATTTAATGCCATCCAGCTGTAAGGATGAAGCAACTAGTTCTATCTTTGAATGCATTTGTTTTCTTCATGACTTTGCTTACTGACATGTGGTCAGTCTTACTATGAATAAATACACCGGCTGAATTTAAGTGGGATGTTGTTCTCCATCCTTATAATCCTGAGTGATTTGTCACTTTGTGACTGCCATTATTTTACTTTGAACATATGGAAAGTAATGTATTGTAACTGGTGTTTGAGTGCACGTAATTCTTTAAATTTTACTTTATTACAGAGCCGATATGGACGATATACACCGTTAGCTAAGACATTGCAGGAAGATCCTTCTTGTCAGTTGTGTAGTGTGCTACAAAAGTATGTGCTGCTGTCTGATCTATCTACAATAGAGGCAAATTTGCGTGAAACTGATCTTCCTTTATTATCCACACTTCGACAGGTATATAAATTAATAAATGGCCTTTCATTCATACACACATTACATATTTAATAAAGCATGAGACAACCTTGCACATTGGTATGCAACTGAAAATTATCATGTGACTAATTCAGACAACATTCTTTCACTTCACACATTTAATTCTTCTTTCCACCTTTATAGTGGCCCATTTTACATCCACAGAACTTTCACATAGTAATTGTCCTCTGTCCTTGTTGCATTGTCACAGATTGGCTTCTTTAATGCATTTTTCTGTCTCGGTGTTGTAATTATTAATTTTTTGTGCATACTTGACAGCTTTTGTTTGTTATTCATCTAGCATTGTTTCTGTTTTATGGGTAACTGCACAAAGGCCTTCAATCTCTATGAGTTAATTATAAAACTGGAATCATATGCAGTTCACAAGAATCAGAGAAGCTGCATAGCACAGGTCTCTTTTGATTCCATTAGAATTTGGTTTGATGGGCAGAATTATCACAAACATTGAAGAGTAGGCCTTTTGTAATAAATAAAGTCAAATATGTATAAATGTTTAGTATTAGACATGATACTGTATAATGCACCATAAATTGGTTCTCAGTAATTGTGAGTGAGGATTATTGCTCAGTCACAAATTAAGCAACATTTGGTAACAGTGTTGCACATTGACACTTGAATCCATGAACTGACTGATTAATTTTGGAAGCCAGTATTCTGCTTGAAGTATCATTGTTCTTTGTTAGATAGAAGCAAAGGCATTGGAAATTTAGAATCACATCAGATGAATGTTGTAGAAATACAAACTGTACCCCAAAAGCAGATCCAGTAGCAAATCTAATATTTTCAAAAATATAAAACTGGACAAATTGAATGAGTATGGTTTTAACAGTAACAGTAACCTGACTGCTGCATTGAAAATGTATTGATATTCTATGAATATGTGAATTTCAAGGTTGAAAGGTGCCTGTTTTTACAGAAACCTTTATATTTTATTTATTTTCTTTCATTTATTTCTTATTTGCTAAAAAAGATAATCCTTTATTTTTGATAAAAATGTCTTATGGTTGAAGATGGCTCGTTTTCTTGGACGTTCTGCCATGCTGTCTGGTAAAAATTCACTAACATTTTGGAGCTGCTTCCTATCTGCTATCAGGATGATGGATATGTCGGTTAATTTCTACCAAACTGCATGACACATTATAACAGAAGACAGCCAATTTCATATCCTTCACTGTGAGAAACTGAAATCTCACTGTATTATAGTCAATGGATGAATAGAATGCGGTATATATATTTAGCTCTTGAACACATTCTCAGTTGTGAATGGAATGCAGAAGTTCATCATTACAAAAGATATATTTTGAATTATTTGAGTGACCTCATATCTTTGCTGCATGTGTCTCCAAGATATGTTTTAATATCATCCTACCATCTGCGTCTTTGTTTCTGAATTGATAACCTTGCAGACTTGTCAGCCCAGTCTATTTTATGATGCCTGAACATATATGCATTTCTTGTTTCCCCAATTTATATTGCATGTCTCTGCATAATTTACTGACTTTAATATTAGATCAAGATCACACGCCTTGATTTTCATCATCACAATATTCTCTTTGTTTTCCTTTGAGTTACCCTCTCTAGAGTCACAACACTGTCCTCAGCACTTTGTCTTTTGCTTGAAGTGAAAAACTGTTTAAAGATACAGAAAATGGTTTGGGAATTTAGTAATCAAATGATAGAGTTTAATTTCATGGTTTTGTGTGCTCATAAATGATGTAATTTCAGATTGAAATGAAAGTTTCTGCAAGTATTGAGAGAAAGTGCTTGGTTATTTTTTAATGATTCATATGTGAATCAACTTTGTGACTTAATGTTTCACCTTTTTTTCTTCACAGGGTGTTATTGTATTGAGTCGTCAGTGGAAGAATGTCTTATACACACCTCTTCTGCTGGATCACAAATACAAAAGTAAACATGTGAAACCACTGAATGTTACTTTTGCAGTTCCTGAGCCTGATGAGGTAGGTACATCATGTGTTAACTGTAGGAACATACTGTAGCAATGGTGTTGACAGATATATTATGTGTCTTGAGAGAAGGCAAACATTTTTATTCTGAATTTGTTAATAATGCATCCTTTATTTTAGTGTGAGGACACTTCCAATTCTCAAGCTATAAAAAATTAATGATTTCCTTCTTGTATGTAATTATGAGTTATGATGGCTCAGTCTAAGGTGGGTGGCTATAAGCTAAATGGTCTGTGTTTGATTCCCAGCAGGGGCAGGGATATTTCTTAGGTGCTCAGGAAGAAGGGCTTCAGTCTTTATAAGTTATTATAGACTTAAGCCCTTCTTACTGAACAAAGGGGAACACCCCACCCCACCCCTACCGCCGTGAGATTCAGACCAGCATTACAAACCACCGAGCCTCTAATCCAATGTGTATCAGGAGATATTTCTGCAGAGGTAAAGCAACTGGTACCTAGTGCATAAATGCTGTGTGTAAATCTTTGTGATGTAGTGTTAAGGACAAAGGAATCTTTGCCCTTAAGTTTTAGGTTATTGTGTAGGTGTCACTAATTTTGGATTTGTGTAAATGCATCCAAGTTTTGTCTGTCTTCCTCAGTTAATCTGATAGTCTAATTTACTAGACCCAGATGGCAGAGTGTAATGCAGTAATATCAGGAATGTATCACATGTAGTATGTTTCTTTTGCTGATTCATAGATAATAAAATATAGTAAATGATTGTGGGTGTCAGTTTGAGTTAATGTTTCTGCCATTAAGATTTCTATAGGTGTACAGCAGTGTTAGTGTTTAGTATCACTGCAGTGTACATGGTCTAATCTAGTAGTCTACTGTCAACCAAAATTAGATAAAATTTTCATTTGAGTATCAATTTTGTGTTCAAGTGCTAGAACATTTTGAGTTAATAACTACATTCATCAGGTTTAATTTTAAGATTTAAATGATCTGTGAAGGATATGGATGATTTTGCATTCCTATTACTTATTTATCAAGGAAGCCCTGAATATTCATGTTTTATCTGTACATGGAGAAGTTCTGGTATGATATTTGTCAAATGTAATTTTTAAAGAAAAGGATTGGGAGGAAGATTGAAATTAATTATATTGGGTAGAACCCTGTGAGTGCTTCTTTCAGAATCCACATACAAATCATTATCAGTCTAAGATTTCAATCTTCACTTCTGTCATTCTTGTGAATTGTAGTTATTTTCATATTGCATCTCCAAAATGTGCAGATGTCAGGGTATACTGTATATAAAATAGCCTGTGCTAAGTTATTAATGTTTACTGAAACTATGGTGGGTTATGGTAAGATAGTAAATTGTATAAAGTTAATATAGTTAGGTTCAAAAGAGGCTATTCCCAGTCCAGAGATTAGGTGTAGCCCCTTCTATTGGACCCAGCTGAGTAGTAATTTTTGCCTGGAGATGGGAGCAGAGCCAGCTCCTGAAATGTGGCTTTGTTTTTAGAATATTAAACAATGGATTAAGTCAAGAGAAACAGCACTACTGAATGTAATTCACCATCATATGAACCCTTTAGGGTCATATTACTGTATCATATGGGGAAAAATAGTATTTAAAATTGGCAAAAGCTTTGACATATTTTAAACAGATGTACTCTTCAAGGAAGAGGATTGCTGTGTAAATGCAAGATCCTCAAGGCTACAAAGTTATAACTTGAAATAATGTGATTTCCATGGAAATAGGCTGCTAGCTCATGTCACATTATTGTGAGTTCTGCAGCAAAAGAGTGAATTGTCTGAAATATTTTTTTTATGAAAATATAATATAGTAATTTGTTGTTCACACTTGAAACAGAATGAGTTATTTTGAGAGTTGGTTGGGCTGTTAGCAGTTATTTCACATTTATAAAATTCCTTTTTATCATATACATTAATGAGGAATTTGTGCATGAAGAACAGACCCTTAGGAGCCTTTGTCATGCATGTTGTGTTGTAAGGCTAGCGAATACCCTGTACACCATTCATAAAGAGTAAGTAAATTGACAAGTGAAGAGAGATTTATTTTTAACTCAACTGGTTAGAGTGCCTGCCTGATTAACAGTTTTCAGATAACTGCGGCTCTACAATATGTATTCAGACGGAAGTGTCTTTTTTATTTTTGAATATTAATACCTTTTTAGTTTAAATTGCAGCTTAATAATGTTAAAAAATTGAAGTTTGTTTACTCACAGCTTATGTCAGTGGTTGCCAGAAATTAATTTTATTATAAACAGTCCAAAAAGTAAGTGAAGATTATGATCTAATTTATCAGGCACTCAACAGCACCTGTAATTGCCGTTTGGAAACTACACATCAGTTATCACAAGATAATTTGCTTGCTGGTGGGCATAAGGAAACATTCAAGAAAATGAGTAAGCTGGCTGGCCAACTGCAAAAAATATACATTTCATATATGTTTTTTCTGCTTTGGTTCTTCATGTTGATTTTTTATGCTGTTCAGTTCCATAATGGTTCAGGGGTAATTACTTATGTTGCTTTACTTCTTTCCACAGACTTTGCCAAATGCGAAAGTGTATTGCAGCAGAGTATCATATAGTCAGTTGGGTTACAGAGCAAGGGAATGAAATATGCTGCATTTATAAACTAGCTATAATTAACTCTGGTAATAGAAGCTGAATGTTGAACACTGCTAATAACAAACCCTGTCATAACCACTTCCATCCACCTTTCAGCCTGAAGACCTGTCTCCCTGGGAACCAACTTAATGTCTGCTATTCTTGCATTCTGTTTCAGTCTCCCAATTGGCTACTTTCCAATAGGTTTTCCTACCAAAATCCCCTGCACACGTGTATCCCTATTCATGCTACATGTTCAGCCCTTCATATCTCAATACATTTCACAATCTTAGCTATACAGGTTACTTATAAGTCATAAAGCTCTGAAGTATGTAATATCATATGTTTCACATTTCTTTCATCCTTAGTTCCATATATTTTCCTTAGCCTTTTATTTTCAGTCACTTCTAATAGATATTGTTCTTTAAAAATAAGCCACAATATTTTCACATTCTTACAAAACTAGCATAAATATTGCTTTATAAATCTTGACTTTGATAATTTGGACTTCACACACAAAGTCTCTAGATATGGAGGGTAGCTGTTGATGTACTGACTGACATTTGTGGGCAGCTGACAAGGGAGTGATCCTCCAGTTCGCATATTAGGCATAATGTCAACAACTCGCAACAGAAATGTTTCATGAAGATTGCTGTCTTCTGGGTTATTGCACCATGTAGTCTGGTAGATTTCCACCTACGTTTCTACCAGACTACATGGCGCAATAACCCAGAAGACAGCAATCTTCAGACTCACTGCTGTGAAAACCTCAAATCCTACACAGAAATGTTCCTTGTTATAGAAGTTTCACGAAGGCTTTAGAATTGGAAAAATTATGCACTTATGAACAGGCATATGCAAATGCAAAAGGTTCTTTCCATTTTGTTTTTGCTGCCAAAATAGAATGTGTTGGTATGGGTACTAAAAATTGGTTGAGTAAAATAAAACACTGTCCTATTCAGAACTATTGTCATCTTTTGTCATGAGTAATTGCAGGAAATTACAAATAAATCCTTTTATAGTAGCAATTAAGAACTGAAGTTTTGTTGTGTGTGTCAGAACTGGAGAGGATCATTTTATCTACTTTCTATCTTTTATTGTTTTATTTTAATATACAACTTAAAGAAATATATTCTAAAGGTGTGAACTGGATTGAATTTTCTCATGATCATATTTAGTGCCAGGCTTTGGTATTAGCATTGTTGAACTTTCAGTCTCTGTTACAAAATGAAGTTCCTCTGTGTATAAGAAACACACCAAGAAGTCATATAAGGGGCTTGCAATGTATATCGCAGCACTAGATAGAGATGAGTGATCGCCTTCAAGCTACATGAGTCCCTGGTATATATTCCCATGATGCAGGATGGCTTACTAAAGTAAATGGCTCTAGGCTAGTTGACTGGAATTTTATTAATGGCAAGAGAAAGGATTTTTTCTTTGCCACTGTGTTCTTTTCTCACCCAAGTTTTTATGACCCCTTGGTGTGATTTTTAGTTTTGGGGATGATTTTACCTTCATTTGTTACCAGAGAGTTGGTTATTTTACAATGAAATCATGTTATCAACCGTGTTTTTCCCAATTGAGATCCATTGTGTAATAACTAGGTATCAGAATTTAAGTTGCATTTTAGGAATATTTGCTTTGTGGCTTCCTTTCTAATGAGTTTAAAAATTGTTACATTATTTTTGTGGGAATAATCCCTGCTATTAAAATAACTTTTTTTCTTCTGAAAACTGAACAGGCATTTCATGTTTTCATTTTCCTTGCTTTGAAAGCCAGTTAGTGCATTTTCAAAAGATACTGCACTTTGCTTCTAAATTTGTGAACAGACACTGGATGCACCTGAATTTGTAGCAATGAAGAGCGCTTCAGACACATGGGAAACGTTAATAATGTGTGGAGGTTTAGCTTTTGGTTTTATTTGTAATAGAATAGTGTATTTACGGAATAATACTAAGCAGAATGTAAGGAAATTTGAAGGTTTTTCCTGTTTTTGAAATAACAGTTCCAAAAATGTGTATTCATACAGATATATTAACTTCTTGTTTTACCAAAGGAATGTATTCCTAGAAAGACATTCAGTTGTTAAAAAATTATAAATGTCTCTTAAATTTAAAGGCAGTAATTAAAGATAATAAATGAATACTGCATATATGAATATGAACATCGAATATAAATATTAGTAAAGGAATTTTATATGTTTATTGTAATCAACAGCAATTTATTTTAAAAACAAACTAACCTTCAGTTTTCACTGACTTCTTTGTGTTCTAGAATACATTAGATTAGACTGCAAACAATGATTACAGCTTATGGATCCCATTGATTTGTCTAATATTTTAGTGTAAGTTGAGCTTTCTGACTTTTGCTTGCATGGGACTTGCGAAGCAATCTGCTTCTGAGAGAGTACCCATAGGGTGGTATTCTGTTTCTTTCAACACAGAAAACTATCCAGCAGATAGTATTAATGGCTTAACATTGATTATGAACCTGAAAGTGTGGGGCACCTGGTGTGCATCACATTTGAAAAGATTTGACTGTTAGAGGAATACAAAAGCCATGCAGAAAAATCACACACTTGATCTGTCCAGTGTCATGTCCAAAACATATGGCATCGGAGGCTAGTTCTTCACAATTAAAACTAAATTATTTTCCTTATTCTCAGTATTCTCTTCAGTAGGCTTAGTTTTGTATGATGATTTTTCTTTTTGAGAAGTTTGAGTTATATTGAGCTGTTACAAATCAGAATTAAATTTCATCAGCATTTATTCACTAATTTTAGAGATATACAGATGGACACATACACATTGGCCTCATTAAGCATAGAACATATGAAATTGGGGAATTCTGAGTGCCTCTTATAGTATGGGAAAACAGTATCTGTCTTGCTAGGGTTGTTTCTATTCTGTATCTTAGCTTCATCCTTGAAACTTTAGTTTGCCTCAGTAACTGGGCATTGGACTTTTTGGAAAGCTGTTTATGTGGTTGAAGGTTCTGGTGGCTGTACTAACACAATGGAGGGTGTGTAGGTCTCATATAGATTGTGTCTTTTGTAGTTTGACACTTGGTTTTGCAGGAGAATGTACTAACAGATGGCGAGGGCGAAGGGTCTGGGGAGGAATGTGAGGTAACGGATGAATGTGCCATGCTTCTTAACACAGAAGCTGGTGCCATGCATAAGGTGATTAAGTCACATGATAAAAATGGTGAGTTGTCATTTTGCAATTTTTAAAATTGCATGGTTATGTTGCTAACTGGCTAGTATTCCAACAGGAAATAGTGCGTTAAGGGAGATTTTAAATATAATTACATGATTTGATAGTAGGGCTGTAATTTTTGTAATAAATTAAACATTTAAAATTAATGTATTAATTAGTAAATCAACTAACATAAACATACATTATTTATTTTAAAAGAAATTGAGCTGTTATGTAAAGATAAGCAGGTTATTTAGAGTCTTGAGTATCAAAGTAAGCTTACAATCTAGTAATTGTGAGTTTATTATTTTAATATTTTCCTTTTTGTTAATATTTTTTGATATATTCAATACAAACAGAGACATTGGACAACAATAAGGTAATATTAAGATTAGAAATTTAGGATGTTAAGGAATTCTGGGCAAAGATCACTTTCTTATTATACAAACTTTCAGTCCTACAAATCTTTATTGTTGATATAGTATTTAGTTCGTGTAGCTTTATAATCAGACAATAAAGTACAATTTAGATCATGGAGATAAGCGTGCCAGACTTATCCACAGATGGTCATAGGTTTGAATCCTTTTTGTGTTTTTTTTTATTGTTTGCAGTCGTATCTGTGTTACATATTGTTATTGCCATTATTATCACCATCATCATTATTGTATTGGCATTGTTGCTTGCTTCTCGTGTGGAATTTATTACTACAATAGAAATTCTGTTTGCATTAGTTTAATGAATGTCATGCTCAAATGGTTATTTGGGAAGTTGTATATTCAAGTATTGGGTTGGCTAATCTGATTAAGGTTTCTTTGGTTTCCCTCAGATCCTACAGGCAGGATAGTATCTTACATTAGGTCACAGTGTCTTCATGATCATTTTCTTCCATCTCCTTCCCAATTATTAACTAATCATCTTATGAGTCAACATACATAACACATAAATAACTAACACATTAAATTTTTTGGATGTGGCCTCAAAGTTTTTCACTGTTGCTGTATTCAAAATTGTTGACTTATACTCAGTAGTTTCTGTTTGTTGTATAGGTATATTTGTAATCTATCTTTATAAAAAAAATTCACACTGTTAGCCCCAGTAGTTAATTAATTATTCCTTCCAGACTGAAAGACAAAATAATGTATTGCTTGCTGCCCCCCTTACTTCTATTATTACCACCACCACCACCAACAACAACAACAATAACAACCTGTAACATATATACTATTGCATGTGATAAATTCTGCCTGTCATAGTATATGATCATATGGCCACCTGCTTATGATCACAGTTTGCTTTGCAATTTAATTTATGTAGCTTCCATGATTTCTTGCATTAGAAACATGAATTTTGTTCATTAATTTGTGTCTTTCTGCACTGTTTTATTTATCACACTGGCTGTTGAGAGGATAACATAATTTTAAGTAGTAGGGCTTGACTTTATGTTTCTGTATTACATACTATTCACTACATGTACAGTTAATGTCATGAGATCCCCTAACTTATTAGTAATGAAGAAAAGTTTTTAGAAAACAAAACTTTTGTCTTAATTAGACAGACAACTTTCATTTGAAACTTTACAAATTTGTGCCATAAATATAAGGTTCAGGTAACATGAATAATGCAGAGCATGCATAGCAAGTAATGTGTCTTGTTCCAGATTCAGTTTCATAGTACACACCATGATATGTAAGACAGTTCCACCAAGTAGACCCAGTAACACAAGCTGTTTTTTTCATTAGGACTAGGTTTAAAACATGACGACCTGTTGGTTCCTCCTGTTGGGTCCCCTCATGTTACCAGTCATGTGGATCGCACCCCAATGGTTACACCTGGAATTGTAGTTGGAGGTGTGGACAGCTTGTTTAATTCACCTTCACCTCCGTCAGTTCAGCAGCAAGGTCATGGAGGTACTGGAGTGGGAGGGCATCGGAAAAGAAAGAAATCTCTACCTCCTTCGCACCCACCTTCTTCATCACGGGCCTCAATTGTGTTTCCAATACTAGGTGGTAACCCTTTCATGGCAGCTGCTTCTCAGAAGAAGTTTGATGCTGAGCAGGGCATTGGTACTGTATCTTTTGTACTACTTGTGAGGAAATGTTAAGTTCAGTCTGATACAAGAGTGTACACTCCAAGGCAGTACAGATGTCTTCTAAATGTCTGCAGTTTTATATGTAATTGGCTTTGGTATTCATTTATTCAAGATAAAAATATATTATTACAAAAACAATCACACTAGAAACATAAATTTGTATATTCATAAAGATTTCTCCTTGTATTTTATTAAACTTAATGAAATTTGAATTTTATGTCATATAACCAATTTTGATACATTTTTTAATAAGGAATTTAGTGAAGTTCTTACGTGGTTGGCTATTGTTAAAGTTTGGTTTCGAAAGTGGTTAGTCACATACTGTAGTTATGGTATAGATCATTAGTAATTTATTCCTTTAGAGTACACCTCATTTTGTCATAAAAGTTCTGTTGTTTTTGTCTGTAACAGATATCTAAGATATCTCTTCAATATTTATAGGTTATGGACCACTGAAAGAAGAGCGTTCCTCCTTGCATCATTCACATGGACAGCATCACCACTTGGGTTCAAATCCTAGTATTTATTCCGGTGGTGGTCCAGGTAGCCAGCATTCTGTGACTTCTCTGGAAAATAATTTTTCTCCCACTGGTAATTCATCAGCACCAACAAGCAGAAATTGGGAAACAAGCAGGAAAGAAACGGGTGAGGACCTGTATAGCTGGATGGCCAAACAGCAAGATTTCATGAAAGATTCAGAAGTTTCCAAGACTAACTTGAAAGGGAACTGGGTAAGTTTGACTGTAGAACAATGGATAAGTTTGGGCTGGTAATGGATTAATCAGCCAAGTTATTTCCCCCCAGTCCATCAGCAAATTCTGGTATATCTCCTTAAGTAACGCATGTTTTGTCACCAGTCAGATTTTATTCTTTTCTATTTGTGACAAGTTTTCAGTTTCACTTTCTGTATCAGTTTATTTTAGCTAGCTCTCTTTCTTAGTCTTTAAGGATAAGTAGGCAGATGATATCATATCCCTATGTCTTGTATGTTTCATAAACAATTTGATGGATTTTTGTGAAATTGTATGTGAACATTTTGCCATGTGAGGTTACCACACCCTTGGACTTTTAATTCTCTACCTTCAGTAATACCAACATGTTGACATGCAAACTCCTGAGATGGGAGCTAGTTTATTGTGATTTAACATAAGTAGGATTTTGTGGGGAGGTTCACTAAATTGTGAAATTATTCATTTTTAAATTCTGTTAGTCGTATGAGATAGATTGAGACATTTGAAGGGAAGTAGGCAGCATAAGTTTTTCCCAGTATTTCATGTCATGTATTTTCTGCAGGAATCAAAGATCAACACACTAACCACTGAAGATACCTTGGAAGATCCAGAGTATTTACAGATGACTCTAGGAGGGTACAGTCTGTATCCTATGCATGATTCATTGCGACTTCTTGATGCACACCTGATATTTGAGCCTCTGCTCTCTTGTCTTGGTGTCATGCCACAACAGATGATCAGTAATCTCAGTGGTTCTACAGGTATGCCCATTTTAAAGGAAGCCTTACATAAGGGACTGATTTTTGTGTTATATCAAATTTTATGCACAGAATCTCTGAATTTAGAAACATGTGGAAGAAGATAATGGTAATTGTTAAAGTAGTTAGTTTAGTGTTTCACCCTCTTCTGCATCAAATCAACTCTTATGGATAATTTTTGTGTACTTTCCACAAAATTAACACATAATTTAAAACTTGGTAAAGAGGGCTACATCATTAGTCTTAAAAATTAAATTTTTACCTGTATCAGTTCAGTATAACCTCTACATCACCTGAAACTCAATCAGACTGCAGTTTTTGTCACAGTTGACTCATTGTACAAGTTACTGATAACGTAGCATAAAATATAAAGCACATTAAAATGTGCTAAAGTCTTATATTTTAAATATTTTTCAACACAATCTACATCTAATAAAATGTGAGGAAGTTTTATTTATGACTACACATTTATTTATATTCATCTTAATGTGTCATTGCCTGTGAGAATTTCTTAAGTTGTCACCATCAGACCTTCAAATCATACATGTTAAAATAATTTTTCTTATTGTTCCCTGTGGTTTTTATACTTTCAGGTCATATCTGTTGCCTGATTTCAGGTTGTGTTGTTGATTGTTTGTTAATACTCTGTAGAAACATCATCTGTAGTGTACATTAATTAATTTTATTTATAACCCCAATTTATTAGATTTTCTTCTATATTTAATGTTAACAGAATTGTTGTTATATTGGGAATTTATGATGCATAGAAGTGAAAAGGGTATTGAATAGTGATTGAACAAAGTATACCTCTTGCCTCTTAGTTGCTCTTTGAATTTGTCTTTATAACTAATCAACAAATTTGTATAATATATACGTCTTCACTGCCAGTCATTGACTTCATGGTCTAGGGCATAGGCCTTAATCACTCAGACACGGGAATCATAGCTTTGAATCAAGGTATGGATGTTTGTCTCCATGTTTCTGTGTTGTGCTGTCCTGTATATGTAGAGGCCTTATGAGAGGCTCATCACCTGTCCAAGGAGTCCTACTAAATGTTTAAATAGATTAAGAAACCTCCCATTTGTAAGGAGGCAAAGGTCCATCAAGGACTGTAGAGCCAAGCAAAGAAAAAGTACATCTTCACTGATATGACTAGAAACATAAGGACTGATAACCCACACTTTTTTGGCATCCTGTTTTATTGTAGGTCCAGGAAGTGGCAATGTTTCATCGTTTGACACTTGGGGATCAAACTTGACATTGGTTGGTGGCATTGAAATGATGAGAATTGATATTGTTGTCAGTGAATTTGGAAAAACCAGTGACAAAAAGAAAGGCAAGTCTTCATCAGCATCTTCAGGAGGAAACAAAGGATCTAAGAACCATGGTAATTTTACATTTCTATTTTCAGAATTCAGCATTATATCTGAAAACTTTGATCTGGTATATTATTTTATTCCTTAGTCTGGTTGGGATGGCAAGATTTTTATCCTTGTCACACTGCTTCAGACTGTCATGTTAATAGAAAAAGTGGTACAGAATGTTTATTTTGCTGTGCATTGTTTTGAGAATTGTGTACTTTAAAACATTAGTTTTCAGCCTGTGGTTGTTCCCCAAATCAAGGTCACAGATTTCCTTATCCTGGTTTTAAAGTGTCAGGCTAAGACTCTCTCTTCTTGAACACTTTATTGACTTAATTGATTTGGTGGCTCAGTCATCAGAGTTACTGGTTATCTCTTTGTTTTTTTGCATCAGAGTTACTGGTTATCTCTTTGTTGATGGCATTTCCATTTTCAGTAGATAAAGCAGCTTGGGTGTGAAGGTCATATTTGCTTACCTTTATTCAGTATTAGGTTAAGACTACAGTGAGTGAGCTTTACCTCCATTCCATCTATATATCCTGATTGCAGAGACATTATGACAGATATTTTTTGTTTCCAGTTGCATACACTCCTGTTAAGATATGTATGAAACTTAATTCAGCCTTGTTAAGGAGTGAGCTTGGATACTATATGAATTGCATTCAATGTGGGCTGTCATGCACATTACTAGGCCTAGTAGGGGAAAGTTTAACCTTTTCCTTTGTCTGCAGACAGATAGACAGACCAGCCTGTAAAGCTTCTTTTGTCCTTTTAATCTACACAGTGGATAATGTAAGAAAAAAAGGCACCCACATGTTGAGTGTGTTTGCTAGCATTAGGAACTAAATGTGACTAATTGTAAGCTTTATTATAGGAGGAGGAAAGTTTTATCTGGATATTCCTCCTGAGACACCAGCCTTTCTCTGTGAGAAGATGGGAGTTGAATTGGACTTAAAGAAGATGGCAGACATGACAGTTGATGACATGATTCACAAACAGAACGTTTTATACATCTCACGTGGGCAGTTAAAGAAACACACTAGCACTATATTGAATATCAGCTTGAATGTGCGCTATATTTCACAGCAGGTAAATGTTATTTATTGAGTAATATACTAAGTTTACCACCCCTGAAATGTTCAGAAGAAAATAAAAAAAATATGTTATGTAATTTATGAACCATATCAGAGTTTTATAATCATTTTCACATAAGTTTCAGTTGGATATAAAAAGTAAAACGACATTGGTTGCACAGTCTTTGTGTCAACCACTTACACAGTATATACTGTCACATACATCCTGCCAGTCTCACAAAAGTGTAGGTTTTAGTAGAATGTTTACATATCTGCTAATAATGACAGTTAAAATGAAAGAGACAGAGTATGCACTTCTTTTGCTATCACTCATCAGAATAATATTGGTTCAGACATTGTTCTAGGAATATGTAAACCTCCCCAAGCAGACTACCTAAAATGGTTCATTCACCTAATATTGGTGGAAGTGCTGATTTTAAGCAGTATGTTCCTCTGAAACATTAGTACCCATCTACAAATTCACATAGCATCACAACCAAGACTGCCATCAAAGAAGAAATTATCTTTGTGTACCACCTTCTATGCACAAAGTATAACATCATCAAGTCTGTAAATGGAATGATTTAAAATTTCAACTTCAATTCATCTTTCTTAAATAAAGAATGTTTTTGTATTTACAACTTGAAGTGTGTGTTTGAATTAATGGTGTCATGTTTTGCTGTTACAGGTGAACATGCCACTACTGCGTCTGCTGCATCAGATAAGCAATATGTACCAGAATGTTAAGGAAACACAAATGGAACTGAAAGAACAACAACCAGAAGTTAAAAAAGAAAACTTGACAAAAAATAACAAGAATGGTTCTTCATCAAGTGAGATGCACCTTTTATTTAACGTGTCTCCCTTCCTGTTTGAAAAGTAAAAAATACAGATTGAGGTACAACTATAGGAAACATTTTGACAACCTGTATTTAAGACTTTTGTCTAGTGTCATTATTTGATTCACAGCGCCCAAAATTATTTATGGGATCCCAGGTTAGATCCACGACTGAATGTGGATGCAGTTTTCTGAACTTCGGAAGTGCATTTCTTCACTTCACCAGTGTAGAAGAGGGCATAAAGGTCAACTAGAGTTGAAATAACTTTCTTCACAATTTGATAAGTAATGTAGTGCATAATTTTCAAAAACAAAATAAATTATTTTTGAGTGACTGGATAAATTCAGTGTGTTCTTGAATTGGACTTATTAGCTAGTCTGCTCCCTAACTGGAAGGTAAAATGCATTAAATCATAATTTGATGTATAAAGTAAAAGGGCAAAGTGTGCTGAGTTTCTTTTTATTTCTAGCATCAGACATGCATGAGAATGTGTCTGTAGTTGATGACAAGATGAAATTACCTGCTGGAAATGTAACTGGGGTTGGTCCTGGCTTTCCCCACTCATTGAGCCAACAAAAGATAGTGTCACCATCAGCATCTCTTCGCTCCCGTCCGCAGAGTTTTGCGCAGAAACTTAGATCAACTAGCAAGAGTGTAAAAGGTACCATCTGAGTTTGTACTGATTTAAGTGTCATTAAACTTTGTAAATTTTTATGTTGGTTATTTCAAATTATCGTGCAGTTTGAAGTAAGTAATGTTTACCATCTATAAATTTACATTTTTGTGCTTTTTAATGTGTTTGAATTTCAATGTTTATTTTTATTTTATTGCATTCATATATTATTGATGTCTTAAGCATGTGATTTAATACCCAGTAAGTGATGTTCTTAGTGAAAACTGATTAATACACCTGTAATTCAAATATTTTATTCTGTGGTCACACAAGTTTAAACTGGAAAGGTTTTACTGTAGTTTTATTATTTTACCCATTTGCAGAGTACATGCTGTGGTACTGAAGTCCATACATGAGATGCTCTGAGAGTCTGAGATCAAATACATGTTTTATATTTTCCCAGATTTCTACTATAGAATTTCTTACTTTTAGGCTACATGAATTTGTCTGAAGGAGGAACAACGCCAATGCTGGCGGTGAGTCCGTCTGGTTCAGGTCTTGAACATACCACCATTGCCTCAGATAAAAGTAAAGATGTACTAAATCTGACACCTCGCTGCTGGAAAACTGTGTACTATCTTCTTGATCTGTATGCAACAATGCCAGAAACAAAGACCATCACTCATAGGTGGAGTATTAAATACAAAAAAGAATAATATTCACATTGGGGTAGGATTGTGTCTGTCTTCCAATGCCAGCTATCCACTTTGCAGGGATCCCACTGCATTGCATGTTTTCAGACCAACATAAAATGCTGTCTGACATTTTTAATATACTTTGTAGTACGCAGCTTGCAACATGTCTGGTAGTGTTTCAGAGATATTTTGTGAATCACTTTCATTTATATAAGGAAACATCTTCTAGACACCTGTTCTTTTCTATGGGTGTGGAACTTGGTTTGTCACCCTGAGGGATGACATAGTTACCTTTTGCATCTTTTAAATGTTAATTTAATTTGCTGCCCTTCAACTTATTGAGGTATTTGTTTTGCTGCCCAACGTTCTGGCATTTTATACATCCTTCTGCTATTGGCATCTATCAAAATTAAATTAAGTACCAGCTTTCAAGTGTGGCACTGCACAAAAATCAGTATCTTACAATCCCATTGGCTAGTATGAAAGTCAAAGAAACAGGAAACTGTCTTCTCACCAGGGTTGTGTTGTTATATAATGAAAATTTCTCAAAGATATAGAAAGGTTTTTTTAATTGTCTGTTATTGGATTCAGATATCTTCAGCTGGTCTTGTATTTTATGTTTCTTACAAAATAAAATGCCAAGCGGAACACTCCTTACTTATACCATGAAATTGTTGGTAGTAGGTTAAAATGAAGTCACTCCTGCCCTGAAGATGGAGGAAATAGGTTTAAGTGAAGTTACAGCATGAAGGTTGAAGTTAATTTGTTTTTATCCTAAAGGTGGATGCAGTTGGTTTGTATGAAACACTGGATATTTCTTTGAATAGGACATGGTGTTAGAGTGCAGAAGATTGTACTGTATGAATCAAGTATTTGTTTCAGAATTAATGATTTCTTTGGTGTCAGTAGGTTTGTATTTGTGGACAGGTTTTCTGTGGCTGCTGATATTTCAGAAGGCTACAAGGGTAACAGGAAGTATGACTTGTTACCTGAAGTTAAAAGCAATGAAGATTTGGAGAAAGGAGTTGCTGCTGTCCCTGAGACTGCTACAGGCTCTACTCCACAGCCACATGATAAACCCAGGGAACTCAGTAAGTGTTGCAGTGTTATGCACCTGTTTCCTTAAAACTGTCTTCAGTACATGGTATCTGACTTCTCAGTAGAAAGTATCCGTTTATCATAAGTAATCTGGTGAGTGTTTAATTAATGATCCACATCAGTATAATTCCATTATGTGTATTTTCAGTTTTAGTTCCTTTACAAGTTACAATCTCATATCATCATTACTAGAGTTTGGATGTTCATGACCTAAAATACCGAGAAATATGCATGCAAGTATGCCCCAAAAAATAGCAAAATATGACCCAAAAAGGCAAAATATGACCTAATTTGTTATGTAAAAATATTCGCTAAAATTTAAGAAAAGCGTTTTGTATTTCAATCATGTTATTTATTTACATATGCATGAACAACTATTACATTACTTGATTTCCTAGCACTTTTAATCAAAAACCTCCGTCGCTTTACGTTGTAAATGCCTCATTTTGGATCAGCATCATGTTGAGTTTACGTACTCCTATAAAAATATGATAAATTTTAAAAAACAGCCTTTCATGCATTTCAAATTCATTAATTACAAATAAATAAACAAAATTCAAAATATTAAGTACCTTTCTTCATTCTCCTTTCTTGGTAGCATTACATTATATACCGATGTGCATTTTCAAGGTCTCAAATGAAAATCTTCTTAGATTGTCGCACAATATGGCCTTGTAACTTGAGACATCACAAACGTTTCATGGCGTTATCGAAAATTACAGCAATAGAGGAGTGGTTTACTTTATCAAGAAGGAATAAGTGACCAGGGCGATCAGCAAAGAGCGTGCCAATAACGACATTCGCTACATATCTGCCGCAGACATCCGTTGTTTCATCAACCGAAACCCAAATCTTATTTTCACCCACAGTATATGTAATTCTTTTCAGAACATCTTCATCAGTTTTTTCGTAGTGTTATTCGTCTGGAATTAACTGAGTCATGTATTTCTCCAAGAAAAATTTGAGCTGCTCGTTGTTCACTTTGTTCAGTTGCCAGACGACGTCATTTCACATAGGGATTCACTGTAAGTGTCTGAGAAATGTAGTTACAAGTAAAAGTTCATACCCAAAATATAACCAAAATATGAATTTTAACCACAAAATATAACCGAAATATGGATTTAACTACAAATATGACAAAGCACACAAAAATGACCTAAACATGCATTTATATGCAAATAAATACAGTCTAATTCTGATTAGAATAACCCAATTAGTGTTTAATTTCAGTTTAGAATGAAAATAGATGCCCCAGTAAAAATATGACACGTCATGAACATCCGAACCCTAATCATTACATATGCATATTCATAAAACAAGGAATGCCTTGCATACATACCATATCTTTATCCATCTTCAAGCTTCTTATTTATTGTATTGTTTCCAGTCATGTCTGCCTGTTATGTATTTAAAGCCCTGAACCTTTTATTTTATTTTGATTAAAACCATGACCCTGATAAAACCTGACTAAGAGTGCATCAGTTTTGACTGGCATTTCACTTCCTGAACTTGAAATTTTATGTTTATCTTTTTCTATATAACTTTCATTGAAATACATTTCACACACATAGATCTTAAGGAGAAAAGCATTTTCTATGATGAGCATAATTTTTGTATAATGGTAATTTTTCAGAAATGTTTTTTTATGATATGTAACATCTGTGTTCTTTTCAGAATAAAGTCTTGAGCTTCATCAATATTTCATACCTCTTAAAATCGCATAAGATAACACATAACTTACAAAACAACTTGTTTGGAATTTATTTCTTTGATCTAAGACTGAACTAACTGAAAATCATTGGCCAAGTTTAAATAATATTGTAACTCGAAATGTGGATGATAAACTATCACTCAAGTGTATCAGTACTTGTTCTTATAAATATTACAATTGCCTGTCATGTTTGCATATAATGGTATAGTAATAATATTTTTGCATTTGACAGGTGTGGTGACTGGGGAACGTACTCGTCTCATTGTGTTTGGTGTGGCTCGAATTCATCGAACAAGGTTACTAGCAACATTAAGTGGACTCAAACTGGAGGCTGAGATTACGAACCTCCATTCTAGTCTTACTTGTCGTAAAAAATCCAGGCCTGCAAGTTTGGAATGTTCTCTCACAGGACATATTGGACGAACTATGATTGTTCTTCTGGAAGGAGTTGCACCCAGTCAGCAGTGAGTATTGCAGAATAATATGTAGATATCAGAAATCAAATAAAGTTGACATGTTATCCAATTGTTATAATGCAACTGATACAGTGTCAACAGAAACTTCATGTCAGGTTTTCTGCATAATTTCTTCCTGAAGTTGGTGTTGTCAATTGGTTTGATTCTTGTATTATTTAACCAACTGGATTTCTTCTGGAAAAGCTAGTAGTCACTTGGCTAGTCAAGAAATTCCCAGTCTTTAATGGAACTTGAATGTTCATTACTGATTTCAGAAGAGCCCACCATGGGTTCAAATTCTGAACCAGATAAATCAAGTCCACATTGTTATATTGTTTCTGTAATATCCATTTTCATATTTTCTCATGTATGCCTGTGTCTCCCAATTGGTCTCTTTCCTTTTTGGTTTTATCCAAGAATTGTGTGTGCACTATTCATCTGTCCCATGCATGCCACATGCCCCATTCATCCTCCTTGATTTTATCATTCTAATAATAATTGGTGAAGAGTGAAAATAATTAAGTTCTTCATTATGTAATTTTCTCCAGTATTCTATCGCTGTTTTCATCTTAGGTCTAAATACTCCTTAGCACTGTGCTCTCAAACTCCCTCAATTAATGTTCCTTCCTTAAGGTGATAGATGAAGTTTCACACCCATACAAAAGAACAGGTAAAATGAAAGTTGATTTCTGAGTTCATTTTCTAACATTATATTTTTTTTAATTGTGAGGGATTGTTATTTCCTCTTGGCCAAACCCCAACCTCATCAGCTGTCCACTACTGCATATGCAATATAGTTACAGCTGTCTTCCAATTCTGAAGGTTGTCTCTATCTGCAATCTCAGGGTACCATACAATGGTGTCAAGGGGCCCACTTAACGAGATATTAGGTTATTTATTGGTACTTTTTCAACTGAACAAATTACATAATGTCAAAAGGTAAAAGATTGTGAATAATAAGTTGGAAGGGATGTAGATGGAAGTGATTATGACTTATTTTAATGTACTATCAGAACATTTACCTGGCTGAACTGAGAGAAACCATAAATTGATAGTTCTAAGTACTTGACTGCAACATTCAGTTGTTAAGGTGGTCATAGGTTTACTTGATATATTGAGAAGGGTGCCTATTAATGTAATGTTATCGAAATACACTTTGTACACCTTGCCTGGATTTTAAAACCTGATGATTTATTGTTTATTCAGAACTGTAGTGAGGGTGACAGTTGGTAAATCACAGGCTCTGTACTCAAGTGTGTCAAGACGTTCCAAGGATAAGAATTCGGGGCTTCTGACTGTTGGAGCTGTAAATATAGATATTCCTCAGCACCCAGTTGCTCTTCATGGAATGATGACTAGAGGAAGTAAAGAGCTATCTTCAACCCTTCAGGTACCAATCCAGATTTTATTTGTCTGAACCTATTTTTGTATCATGTATGATTTAAGGTTTTCGTGATGGTGAGTCTGAAGATGGCTGTCTTCTGGGCTGTTGTGTCATGTAGTCTGGTAGACGTTTACCGACGTTTCAAAGGTCCTTGCTGCCTCTAACATCAGGGCAAGTGATGACTCATTGCTCTGATGATGAAGGCAGCAAGGACCTCTGAAACTTTGGTAAACTTCTATCAGACTACATGTGCAACAACCCAGAAGACAGCCATCTATAGTTCTGTATTATCTTGATATCATGAAAACATGTCACCTGGTATGGACACAGTTTACAAAATTCAGTAATTTTGGTAACTGTACCATGTTCATATACATGTAAACATCATTTTGACTGATTGAAAATTGAAATGATGCTGTGTTTGAGGCCTTTATAAAGCTGTATTAATTACATTCAGTTTTGAAATACATCGGATAATAAAGGTAGCCAGGTTCACAAATTTGTAAAATAAATTCGGATTTGGTGCATATTGTTACCATATTAGATTTTAGGTTTATATAAGCTAATCAAGGACATAACAAAGATCCAATTGAATATGAATATTTTATTTTGTACTGACTGGATTCAGAATACGCTAACAGCATTATGTTCTTTCTAAGCTGTATATTAAAAAATACTGATTATTTGCCATGTCTTTAAATTATTCATTAACTGTGAGAGATTATAATAAATGCAACAAGTATGGTGTTTAGCAGAACATGTGTATGGTACATAGTACATGGCAGATTAACATTATCTTGTTCTGGTTATGTATGACTTGGCACAGTGGTGTGTGAAAGAATAAGGAAGTTGTGAAAAATGAGATGGCAACTGGAATGGGACATGTCAACCTTGTCACGAATAAGCTGTAATGCAATCTTTATCACATATATTTTAGAAGAATATGCTGGATGTTAAAGAAAATATGGTACTTCCAGATATGTGAACCACATTCAGTGTTAGTATGTTCACTCCTTATACAACAATGCAAGTCTTCATGTACAGCTCTGATTAATTTTCTGCAAAAATTCAAATAACCCCTCTTTCGTAGTTTTATTTGCAGCCTTATAGACCAATAAATAATATTAATACGTGATTAAGCATACTTACATTATGTGTTAGAGACATCTTCTGTAGTTATATTCCTATCTGCCGCTCCCTGCATGATAATAAAAGGGAGAACTTGACAAGAATCGCTACTGTAGATGCTCTGACAAAGATGGTAAACAGGAATGTCATAATGTCAAGACTGTTGTGATAGTAAAGAGATAAAAAAAGAACTTTGTTTCTATAAGGAATTGCGAGTGACTCGAACTTCAAGCAGGATTAGCCGTGGAACAACGGCTGAAGAAGGAGATTTCATAACTCAGCATTCTCCTCGCCACTTTCACTCAATGCAGGCTCCACAGTCTGGTCTCCAGAAGCAGCAACAAGAGTCCAGCTTGCTACAGCCCCTTGTCATGCAGTTTTCTGTTATATTACAGGTATATATATGTGCTGTTATTGCTGTTGAGCTTTTCATTGCTGCATTAGCAACTGCTGTGGTAATTCCCCAGTGTTCAGTTATTGTTAGAGAGAGGTTCCTTTGTCAAAATTATTAGATGAAATTAAGACATGTAAGAAGTTCGTTGTATCACCAAGTATTCTGGTAGATAATGACTGACTACATGGTACTGTATCCCAGAAGACAGCCATCTTATTGTTGCTATGAGAACCTCAGATCTGACCTGAAGGTATGCAAGTTCTGTCTTGAATTCAAAGCTCCATTTAGAGCAGATGTTGAGTGTTTTGGTACTTGCACTTCCCTAAGTAAATATATAAACAAAATGATCTCTAATTTTTCTTTAAGCAGATTGTAAGTATTAGTAATTTGATGAATGTTTTCATAATATTACAGAGTCTGAGCATTACAGCAGCCTTGTTACCATCCTTACAAGCTCAGTACAAGATGGATCAAGTGAACAGTACAGGAGTGACTGGAAGCAAAGCCAAATTCACCATAGACTTGCCTCAGCATTCACTCAGCTTCACTACAAAACTGCAAGTGCACAATGTAAGCAGTACATCTGTGCATAAGTGTTTACAAATTTAAAACAGGAAATTAAATTGTTTGCCTGAATGAACAGTATCTTCAGAAAATGATGTGAGGTACAGTAACAACAGATATAAAATTAATGTGTAATGTGCCATAAACTTATAAACACATTTAATAAAATCTGGGATATGCAGGAGGAATGAGTGTACAGGATATAACATATGCTGAGTGTTTCATTATCCTGCCTGGTTTTGTGTCTGGTTAAGCTGATTCAGTATTACAAAACAGAATATATCCATCTTTTTAAAGGTATTCTTATTCTTTTAGATTTCTCCAGAGGTTAGTAAAATACATTACTAATAGAATTTGTAATCCTGTTGTTCTCCATTTATTTTGTATTTGGAATATGTGCTTTGACTTCAGGAAACCAGTATATTGCTTTGGTAATGTTATATCTGTTTAGAAGACAATTGCTTTTTGTATGATTTGAAGTTTTCATGGCAACTAAATGTAATAAAATGTTCTCAGGCGACAAACCACGTCAAGATGGAGCCATAATCTATGGCCCCATCTTGACGTGGCTTGTCACCCAAGAAGATTTTATTAAATTGTTTTTTATTTTGAAAATCAAGTTGTGTGTCTTTTCATAATTTTGAAGTATTTAATGTTGAATATGCATGCAGGTAACTGATGCTCATTTACCATCAGAAGCCAGCATTGAACTTCCTAAAGTTCATGTATCTGCTGAATATGTGCAAGATGGAAATAATCCTCGAGAGGCACAGTTTGCAGGTATGAGAAATTCTGTTGTCATTTATTTGAGGACATATAAATTAGACGAAGTAGACTGGTTTGGGTGTTTAGTTTCCTTTTGGGAGGTCTGCCGTTTTATCTTTGAAGCTCATATGGGACAAGTTTATCCCACAGTAGATGTTTTCATTGTAGTAGTGTATGCCTGGTATGTGATTTTATAGCTGAAAAAACAGAATTGTGTGTTGAGTGCCTGGAAGGAACAGTAAAACTTTTGCACCATTTGGTTTACTTCAGTATTGATTCTCTAATAACAACCATATTGTTTATAAAATGTATAATTACTCTGTTGGGTAATAAAGAGATGAGCTTTTAGTGCAGCAAAATCTTACAGAGGCAGTGACATTCATCTGTCTTTGCAAGTACTGCTCACAGCATGCTTTTTACAGATGGAGTTGTTTTCCGGCAAGGAAGCTATCTGAGTGCTGTGGCAGATATTGGTGTTTTTGAACACTCTCTCACCACAGATCTGCTGAATCATTTGGTATTTGTTCAGAAAGTATTCATGAAGGTGAGGTGTATGTATAATTGCTGTGGTACTGGTTACAACAGGCCAAGAAATCACTTTGCTTGATCTTAGTGAAATATTCTAATTGTATCCTTCGTAACAATTTATGGAATATTGTTAAGGTCATTGAATCAGTAATTAGCACAGCAATGTGATAATATAGTACACATAGGGAAATGAGGAATACGTTAAATGTTTTGGTTGGAAAATCTCAAGTAAAAGAAACCCATTGGGAAACTAGGTAAAGAAGGGAGGATTGTGTTAAAATTCATATTGGAGAAATGTTATGTAAAGGATTAGACAAAAGTAAACTAGCAGGATTAAATGTTAAGCTTCAATCAACACTGGCCAATCTTCAGATTTCTCAAATTCAGAGATCTTGAAGATTGTCATGGAGTTAGGTACATGGTGCTGGTTTGCTACCACTCTTATTTATTGTAATTATGGAAATTATTATGGGTATATGGGTAATTTATCAGGAGATGTCACAAAGAATGTTGCTATGCAATAAATATCTGTTTTCTTACATCACTCTTTAAACTTTTGATAGTACAATAAAAGTAAATGAAGATTATGAGAAATTGTGCACAGCTGTTGTGCAGTGGTACTGGTCCAGTGATTGAGGCTAGGTCTAAAGGATCCAGCTTGGGGGATATTCCCCACCTTTTCATTTGAGGACAGAAACAGATAGTTTCTGGGCCATTTTGTTCTTTTTAGAATACAAGACTGTGGACAAAGTAATAATAATTGAGATCTCATATTTTAAGTGTTGTATATTTTGCTGTTTGATAGGAAGTAAATGAAGTGGTACAGAAAGTGTATGGTGGGGAGAAACCAGTGCCTTTATGGCTAGAGGACAGTGAGGAGCCCACCAGCTCATCCCTCAAGAGAATTCTTTTCTCACTAGTTATTAGAATTAAGGTATGCTGATCTGATGTATTTATATTAAATATTCTGCTGTGGTTTCTATATGAGAAAATAGCTTTAAATTTTAGTATTTTATTTTATTTCTTAAAGATTTGCTGTTGCAGAAATAATTCGAAAATGCAGCTAATTTATATGAATTAAATGACCTTTATAGCTTGTGTGTAAAATAGGGAGTGCTTAGTCACAGGAACAGTTCTACTTTACTGTCTGGACAACATCTCTTCATAGCTCATTAAGCTTAACATAGTACTGTAATTACTACAGTAACCACCACACTCAGAATGGATCTGGGGTCTATCCACACTTGTATGGGTACAGGGATGTAGATAGAGCATGAAGCTGGTCACTTCTTTCTAATTCTGAGGTTAATAATTTTTTAATCTTTACTTCCACACCTGCTATATTTGTCTTTGTATTGCGGTGTTGTAGCATAGGATCAGCTTTATAATATTTCCATTAAATGTCTATAATATTTTATAATTATTGGATTTATATATGCAATATAATGTGTCCCAACAGAGAATCCAGTTGACAGCTACAACTCCTACCAATTCAGCTGTTCGCCTGGAAACAGGTGCAGTTGAGTTCCAGCTGTCAAATAGAGTACAGAATGTATCAGGAGCTGCACAGCCTAACCCATACATGAAAATCTTTGGAAAGGCACAGGTGGATATAAATTTAAGTCTGGGTCAGCTTTTGAAAAATGTCATGTTTGAAGAAGCTGAACCAGAATTCCAACAGTATGCTTTCTTTAAGACTCGCATAGGTAAGATCATATTGTTTTGTTATTACCTACTTCATTGCAGTACATGTTTTTTTTATATATGATTGTTGCGGCTACCATATTGCCTTATAGAGAAACGGGTGGAGATGAAAGTACCGTAAAGATAAATGTACTTTTCAGATATTTGAGTGACAACTTGTATAGCAACTGGTATGCTAAGATTCAAATATTATATGTGTCTAAGTAAGCTTTTTATTTCTGCTTGATTTCTTGAACTTTGGTTTTTTCAGAATTTATCTGCATCAAAATTGGTTTTTATTATGACATCATTTGTGGATGTATGAATTACTTGCCATATAAAAATGATGTTTCAGATAAAGCTGTAGATCTTAATTGTATCCATACGTCTTTAACTTTGATTCTATAATACAGGGCATTCCTTCCTTCTAGTGCACTTTACATTTGACAAATGTCATGATTCATCTTTACCTTTAGTACAGCTGAAAAATTAAAATATCATGCTGTGTCTTTGTGGATATGATTATTTGTTCTGTGGCCCATTCTGTTGTTCACTTTTCAGGTTTGCGTAATGCGTTCCAAGATGAAATGGTTCAGGGCGAGGATAAGGAAGTTGTACTTATAACTTTAAAGCGGCCATTGATTTATATCCAACCTATGGCTGTAGATAAGGCAATATTGGTGTGGTTGAACTACAAAAATGCTTATGAATATTGGAATGAACAGCGATCAAATTTGAACAAAGAGGTTCTTACAGCAACGCAGCAGGTGTGAATGTATTTAATGTGAATGAAAATATGTATAGGATTAATATGAATTTTGATTCATTGTTAATAACACTAAAACTGACTTCCAAATCGTCAAGTGATTCTAGAATACGTTTGACCATATATTTCATTTAGCGATTCTTATTTTTACTATTTTTTGATACATTGTGTTACATGGAAATTTCTTATTGTTGCTTAGGTATTTGAGAAAGTTCCATTTGGCCAATTAACAAGTCAGCTCAGCGCTCCTCATCTTGGGACACTTTTTCTGCAACTAACAGTGGATGACATGGGCATTTGTCTGCCCCTGAACCCTCTGCCTCTTGTAAGTTCTGTATTGTAATTTCACATTACTTTGGAATATATATTAACCTTTGTCATACAGGAATGTGGGATCTAAACTGCTTTTCTACAGAGTTGCTAGCTGTACTTCAACTCTGGTCTTTATAGTTCTGCAGTATGCTACTGCGATGCAGGGTCTGTTTGACTGTGCATTAGCCATGATGTAAGGCCAATTAAGGCTATAGGAACACGCAATTTTTTTGTGTGTGTGATGCCGTGTTTATATGTAGAACCCGTTTTAGCATACTGATATACTAACTTGTGGCACCATTTATTCCCAGAAATTATCCGTTTCCCTTTTCTGTCAGCAGTGATACAGGTAAAGTTATGTGGTTCAAAAGTTAAAAGTGGTTCACTACTTATGGTCATGGTGCTGTCATTATAGGAAGTAGTGATATCTCTTTCTGTATATATAGTTAGATTCACTGGACAAGGTCATATGTCACTCTTTTCAGCATTTTGTGAATGAGAGCAGACTGATCTGCATATAAGTTAGATTTTTATTTTCAGACTGAAACTTTGAAATAAATTGTGCCATTTATACACATTTGATTGAAATAAAATATGTACCCACCCTCTACACATTTGAATATGGTATGTGGATATACTTCCACTGTGCCTGTTTGTATTCATTCATTCAAGATTCATCTGGCTTAGGTAGGATCCAGTGGCAGGTTCTTGGTTTCTTGGTTGACTAAGTCACTAAATAGGACTTTGCTCCTTGTAGCTTAATGTTGCTGAAAGATTCGATTTGTTACAGGCATCTTGGGGAGTGAATCGACAAGTATATGATGCAGAGAGTCGTGGTGCAGTGGTTATCACTCTTGAAAGCACTAGCATCTCAGCCTGCAGTTCAGGTTCATTAGTCAGTAAAGGTCGCTTTATGGGACTTTGCCTTCGCTTTGCTGATGACTTTGAAACAAGTCTTGATGACTGGAAACCTGACATGAGTGACAGTACTATTATGAACTTGTGTGTTGTGTCTGAAGGAACATATGAAGTTTGCAGTCGCACAATTGCCCAAAAGCAAGGAACTGGTAAGAGTGTACTTCTGAGTTACATTTGGAAATTAATTTAAAGCATTATTAAGACAGTCAGGGCACTTCACTTATATACCAGTTGTTATTGTAAAACCTAAGCAGATGACATGTTTTGAGAGACCCTATGCATAAATTGGGGAACACTATTAAAATGGATCTTTGAGAAAGAGTTTGTGAAGGTATGAACTAGACTTCAGTAACTCAGAATAGTGTTAAGCGGTAGGATTTTGTGGAAACAGTGACAAACCTTTGGGTTCTATGTGAGCAGGGAATTTCGTGACTAGCTGAATAATTATAAACTGTTCAAGGAAAGTCCTTGAAGTTAGTCAGTTTAATAAGTAGGTTAATTAAGTTAATAGGCAGGTAGTTAACTTAATAGCACATCATACATAATGTAGACAAAACAGGCAGCAATTAGATAATGTTCCTTTAATTTTTTTTGTGCAGTAGGAGGTTTTATTTTGGTTTTTGCTTTTTTGTCTTACTACCAGAAAATGCAAAATGGTTCCTAAACGTACAGTGGCAGATGGAAGGTGTGGATATTCACTTGGATGTGAATGTTGGCAAACAGTTATCAGCACTGGGACACACACTAACCATGCTTACAGGATCACAGGAAGAGGATGAACCGGTCACTGCAGAGTATGATAGTGATGAGGTCGACCAAGTGGATGGCAATGCAGCCTCCTTGGTACGTTCCCACAAACAACATGTACGTATGTGATGCATTTACCTTTATTTTAAAATGAAATTGAAAGGAAGCCCACATTATGAGGTAATTGATATAAAATTAAGATTAGGTAAGTGTGAGTATACAGATTTATTTAATCAATGTGTGTAGAAGTACTTTGTCTTTTTCTTCCCTTAATTTTATATTAAACTTGTCTTCAATGTCTGATGAATTTGTGTCTGTGATTGAAGAAGCAATAAATGCATACAAAATATTCATTTTGGCCACTTTCTATAGCTTGAAGGTGGGGGGTTCTGAACTCCAAATATGCACACTCATATTTCAGCTACTGAGTACGAGAGAATAAAGTTGCGCTTCACCTTTTCTTATGTTCATGCAGGAGAGCATAAGCTTACGGCGACCACGGAATTTGACAGATAGCTTGCCCGCATTTGTGTTTGATCCATCTCTGGATGCCAAAAAGCGTTCAAAGTTGATTGAGAAGGAAATGAATGAACAGGCTAAGATCATTAATGATCTTCGCTCATTAGGTGCATCTCATGGAACTATTGAGCAAGAAATGAAACGTTTGCAAGAGCTGGAAGCCATGGTCTTCAAGGATTTCCGAAGGTAAGGCAATATTAGTGATTGTGCAGAATTTTAATTTTTCTGTTTATAATATAATCCAAAGTTTTAACACTGCTAACACCAAAATACTTGGCCAGTTCAATTGAGCTTTCATCTGTAAAATACTTATTAATTTTATTCTTGCAACTCCTCGATGGTCTTCCAAGTGTATGCCATCTAAGATATTCCTACTAAAATTGTGTACATACTCTTGTTTCTTTTATTTTAGCTCAGTGTTCAAACTATTGTAACCTTGATTTAGCTATCTTATCAATAGTATGAGAACTCCAAAAATTTCAGAGTTCCTTATTTTATTACATCCCTTATTTCTTACATAATTAATCTCTTAGGAACAGGTAAAATTAATAAACATAACTATGGAGAGAGTTCAGATTTGACCTGGACTTTTATTTTACTGGATGGCAAATCAAGATCTATAGTTTTACTTGTCTAGAGAAGTGTTGGTATGTGGGCTACTCACAACAAAAGTAGAGTTTTGTTTGCGCTGACAATTACCATTTCATCTATCATGGCAGCAAGCAATGTCCTGATCTCTTTTGTGCTGGATTTTGTCAAATTTTAATATATTGAAGGTGAAAAGGTGTCTGATATCTCTTGTTGCCTTCAGTTACAGTTTGGATAAAAGTGCCTGTCGTGTTCTTCTGTGTTCTGATGGTGCAAATTGTTTTAAGATTGCTGCAGAGCCTATTAAATATACTGCATGCACTGCCATGGTAGTGAGCTAAGGTTCTCTTTGTGTTAACATTTTTGTTGAGAAAGAAACAAAGCAGCCTACTAGGTTATGTACTCAAAGACAAACTCAAGCCCATCATCAGAGCCCAAGGGCAGAGATGACTGTCCAAAGGGGTTATTATGCTCCACAATAATGTCTATTCATATTCTACATGTGCAATAGCCAATGTTTTTGGTGAACTATGATAGATGTGCTATCTCACCCTCCTTACAATCCATGTTTGTCCCTGTATGATTTTAACCTGTTTGGATCCCTTAAGGAGCAGCTGGGAGGCCAGTGGTTCTTCACCAATTAAGATGTCATTAAAGGTGAGCAGTCTTGGTTGTACAGCCACTCAAAAGAACTTTTCTCTAGTGGAATCCTCAAGTTATCTGAAAGGTGGACAAATGTGTTGCAAAGCCAGGGCAGTATGTAGAGAAGTGAACATGATTTCAGTTGTGTATAAAGCCTGAAGATGTCCAGAAAAATAAAAGTTTAGGTCAAATTTGAGTTACCTTCATTATATTTATTACTCAGTTTTGCATTTGATTTCAGTTGTATCTTTACACATTTCCTTTCTGTTGTTGGTACTTACACAAGACAAATTTTTGCAATAGGGATATGATTCAGAAGTTACGCCGCCAGAGTGTGAAAGCATCGTCCATCAAAGGCAAGTTTGGACTGGGATCTAAAGCCAGCACATATCGCTCAAAGTCCTTCATTGTGCCATCTCCCACTCCAGAACATCATCTCGAGATGGAGAGGTGAGTGAAGGATTAGGAGGCTGTTACATCAGTATTTTTAATCTTGAAATAAGTTACCAGTCTCTGTTATCCCATCATAGTTTTGGCTCCAGTATTCCATTTTAGAGTCCCCTGCATTTAAGGTTTTCTCACTGTGTT